AGTTTCTTTCTCCATTTCAAAAATATAAGACATAGACCACCTTTAACCTAAATAAAAAAATAATTATTATCATCTTCTAGTTTAAATTACCCTAATAAATACTCTATCCGTTAAGTCATTTTGAGTTTGGTCAAAGTCAAACTATTACAAGTTTAATTAAGTTTGTAGAAGATAATAATAATATTTTTAACTCAACACAAATTTACTATGTAAATATATTCAATTATTGATTTAATGAAACTAATTTAGTATTATAAATATTACTATATTTATCTATAAACTTAATTAAATTTGAAGTAGTTTGACTTTAATTTTAACTAAAGTTAAAACGAGTTATAACCTTAAACGGATGGAGTATAATACATGCATCTAATTATTAGAGATATTTAGTGTGATAGATCTTAAAAAAAGGAATAATTTAGTGGGGGCGGAGGGAGTATACATGCTTGCAAATATGTATACTCAAAATCCTATAATATAAGGGATTTTAAGTTTTTATTTGTAACGTTTGACCACTCATCTTATTTAATTTTTTTTTTGAAATTATTATTTATTTTATTTGTGACTTGCTTTATTATCCACGGTATCCACGGTACTTTAAGTATAACTTTTCGTTTTTTATATTTGCAAAAATCATTGTAAGTAGGGAGTACTAAATAGCCGTACTTAATAGCTGGTCAGTCTTTAGCGTGACTTCGGCGTCAACCATGTCACTGCACCTTGAGCACTGTGTAGTGTGTACTATGCATGCTGACAACATGCACAGACATGTTGGTCTTCTCGCCAACCGAAAGTGTAACCGATTGCACGAACCTGCATGACTTTGGGTGCTTTGAGTAATGTGCATGCACTTTGAGGCCTCTTTATTTAAAGGAAATTCATATAAATTTTAAAAAAATTTATTCCTAATGAAATTTTTCCTATATAGCCCTTTGAATCAAAGGAATGGATCTTATGGAATCCTATGAAATTCCTATGGATTGCCTAATGCCATGCAAGTTTTGGAGGAATTTTAACATGAGGTAAAACCTCTTGGAAACTTTCCTTTGAGTCTTTATCTCTCCTCTAATTCCTGCGTTTTTCCTGTGGTCCAATCAAACGATCGTTCCTGTGTTTTTCCTGTGTTTTGCAATCCTCTGTTTTACACTTACATTCCTATCAAAATCCTGCGTTTTTTCTATTCCTATGTTTTCTCATTCCTGCGATTCAAAGGGGCCCTGACTATGTCAATGGCCATAAACCACACGTTTATGATTACGTTAGATACGCAACCTAACCAATATAAGGATGTTAGATGGTATATTTTTTTTAAAAAAAGTATATATATAAGTTATTTAAAAAATTAAATAAATCAATTTCTCAGTTATATAATAGTAAATAATTAATTAATCATGTGTTAATAAGTTTTCTCGTTTCACATGTCCTCGAAGGTTATGTTGTTTCTCCGCCTTTCCCAACTCACCTATCTCTTTTTCCATGCACACTCTTTTCATACTACTAAATGATGTGTTTTTTTCAAAAAAAATTATATATAAAAGTTACTTTAAAAATTCATATTAATAATGCACTAATGAGCCACTCCGTTTACGTGTCGAAGAGCTTACTCCCTCCGTCCTAAAAAACGAATCTAGTACTGGATGCGACACATTCCAGTATAACAAATCTGACACATTCTGGTATGTCTAAATTTGTAATAGTAGGATGTATCACATCCAGTGGTTGGTTTTTTATGGGATGGAGGGAGCAGTTACCAACCATCCTGAAGGAACACAGCCATTTAATGTCTTTCTATTTGGAAGGAACAAATGTACTCCCTCCGTCTAAAAAAAGGCACACCTAGGTTTCCGTGTCCAACGTTTGACCGTCCGTCTTATTTGAAAAAATTATGAAAAAAATTAAAAAGACAAGTCACGCATAAAGTATTAATCATGTTTTATCATCCAACAACAAGAAATTACTAATATAAAAAATTTTTATATAAGACGGACAGTTAAACGTTGGACACGGAAACTCAATATTTGTCTTTTTTTTTGGGACGGAGGGAGTATAGCCAGTCAATTACGTGCGTGCATGTCTTGTACTAATATTTTATACTGAAAGTGTGACCATGGCTAGATGCTTAGTAAAATACAAAATATTCTTTGGATTTTCTTCATGCCCGTAAAAATAAAAAGGGTTAATTTCATCCATGCCACTGTAAATGTTACAAATCAAAAATATGCCACTACTATTCACGTTATCTGCTTGGTGCCACTGTGAATTTCTAAAATTGGAACCATGCCACTCCATCACTCTTTTCGTCCTCATGTCTCCCCCCCCCCCCCCCCCGCATCTCCCCTGCCGTGCCCCGTTTGCCGCAGCATGGCCCGGCATCGGTGTCCTCCGTGGCAGCGCCGTTCCCCGACCTGATGCGGTACGCGCGGAGTTGCAGCTAGCGCGGCGCTGGCGCAGATCCTGGACTTCGCGGCGCAGCGACTCGTCGGGGTCTCGCTGGCGATGCCGTGCCCGCTGTCGACGATGACACGATGTCATCACCGAGCGCGTAGCCTCACGTCGTCACGGAGAGAGGATGGGGAGGACAAAAAGAGTGACAGAGTGGCATAGTTCCAATTTTATAAATTTATAATGGTACTCAACAGATAATGTAAATAGTGGTGGTATATTTTTAATTTGCCGCAGTGGCATGGATCAAATTAACCTAAATAAAAAGGGTGTGCATCTCTATAGGTGGCAGTCGTAAATTGCAATGACACTAATAAGACACATCATTAGTGATGGGTGCATGTTGGGAAATCCAGCATCTATGTGAAGTTTTCAGGTGACTAGTCGACAACGGCTAGGTAGGTTATTACATATATTATACTTGTATGATTTTGATGAATAAGAGTAATACCAGCTTTAGCCAACATGAGTAGGTTTATTACCTTCTAATGAAGAGGCGGAACCTTTTGTTACCTTCTAATGAAGAGGCGGAACCTATATAAAAATCCTTGTTTCCATCTTTTTATACAATTTTGCATATACCCATACTATGCAAATACCGTAGTTGTGATCTAAAACATCGACAAAGCTGCTAATCAAGTCTCTTTAACACAGGGATACTCTGCGGGTCAAGACAGAACATTAGTAGACTGTTGTGACCACTCACTGGAATAACACAGGAAAATCTCACCTGGAAAAAAACTGTCTACAAATTAATATAAATATGTTTCAATGCATTTGTGACCCATTGTTGTGAATTCTTATTTTCCAATAAATACTTCACCTTTTTCACGATACTTTGATATGGATTGTTTTCTAAAGCATGTTTTGTGCATGGACTATGGTTGGAGGCTTTATCAGTCAGCTAATAATCTAGGTCGTACTCCTTCTAAAAAATGAACCAGGATTGGATGTAACATTTCCTAGTATAATGAATATAATGAATCTGGACATAAGTATGTCCTGATTTGTAGTACTAGAATATATCACATTTAATACTAAATTATTTTTTTATGGGACAGAGGGAGCAGGGTATTATTGAAATGATTCCCATTGCAACGTACGGACAGCTAACTAGTAACTAAAAATTGGAATAATAATATAATGAACTAGCTAGCTAGTACGTAGAGTAGTTCATAATGTTACCTGGGTTAGTGGCGGAGCATGCCTAAAAAATTTTAGGTGGGTTATACATGGGGTGGTAGTTAGTAGCATTCCTACACTAATCCTAGCTAGCCGATGCAAGGTATACTGGGTAGCATGTGTATTTTTAGTTGTTTTATGATAGTATATTAATTACAATATTGCTTGATAATTAGATTATTAGTATGTACCAAAACCTACGTAATTTTTGTTAAAGGTTTGTTACTGGCAGCAGTCGGCAGTGGCGATAGATGAAGCTAGTGCTAGGGTTAAATTCCTCACTGCATTGGTGAGTGCCTCGGTGGTTATGTGTGTTCGTCGAGCTATTCAAGTTTGGATCGCTTGAGATGGTTACCGCAGCGGGTCACCAACGGCATCGCACGAAAAAATCAAGTTATCTAACGTAATTAATGTGTTGTTCATCAGGAATTAGGAGACGTGCTAGTTTTGTCTGACGATTAAATTGTAATGAACAAAATAAAGCCTTCTCGTTCTGATCAGATATTGGAGTAGTGTGTAGCAGTAGCATAAAAGCGACTTTGAAATGTAATTAGCAATAGTTTTAGCAAGTGATTGAAAATAACTCATGGGAGCTGTCGAGCTGATGAGATGTCATGCACTAAGTAGCAGTAACTGAGAGAAAATCATTGAGATTAGGTGCCACTGATGGGATTTCCTTAACTACCAAGCAACAAACCGGAAAAAATCGACCACTCGGTTATCTTTCTGGTAGGCAAGCAGAGTGGTCGATTTTGTAATCGGGATTGGATCGGGCACGGATATTATCGGATACGAATAGAAGCATGGATAATATCGAGTATAAATATGGAACGAATATATACCAAGACGGGTAAGATCTAGATACCCGAATATGACTTGAAATAATGTGGCCGGACGGGCGGTAGGGTCCTGGCAGCAGGTAAGCTGGCCATCAGATGGCCCACCATGCCGTATGGGGCCCATCGCCTCTAATCAAGGTGAAAAAAGGATACTCCCTCCGTTTGAGGTTATAAGATATTTTGATGTTGGTCAAAGTCAAGATTTTTTAAGTTTAATTAAATTTGTAGAAAATTATAGTAATTTTTTTAACGCAAGTTAAATTTATTATGAAAATATATTTTATTATTGATTCGATGAAACTAATTTAGTATTAAAAATATTACTATATTTGTCTATAAACTTAGTCAAACTTGAAGTCAAACTTGAAATAGTTCTGACTTTAAATAAAGTCAAAACGTTTTATAACCTAAAACGGAGGAAGTACGAAGTATACAAAGTAGTACTATTCATCAATACCATGAATCTGGTCAACAGAATATAATTCAACTACGTGCGTCGCCCCTATAAATTAAGTGCGTGCGTTTACTGATGGCTGCATATTAGTTTGTGTGTGCGCTAAGTAATCGCCCAGTTAGGCGGTCATCTCTGGTGCTTGTTGCGCGGCCTCTTCCGTCCACGCAATATCTGCGGTTGTTGCTGGATCCGCCGGTGCTTGCAAATATTTTGCAAATTTCTGCTGACCTGTAAGCACACATCTCATCGACTCCCTAATTTCTTTTGGTTCTGTTCAGGCTTTGCCAATTCCATACCTCCCGTTCATATGAAATGCACCTTGATCCCAAAAGAATAATTCACCAGCCGTTTATAAGAAAAACCTATTATCCTTTTAAAGTAATAAAAAAAAGGAGCCCCCACGTTCTCTCTCATGACTTAGAAATTCTGATATTAATCGGAGAAAAAGAAAATTAGAATCCATAAGAAATAAAATTTAAAAATAATAAAAATTTAGAATTAAAAATAGGGAATATAAGAAGAGGAGACTAGAGCCCATACAAGTATACAATTTAGAACTAATTGAAACTCGAAATTAAAAAATAAGAAAAGTAAAACCTAGAAGTCAGAGTCCCTATAGAAATATAATTTAAAAATAACTAAAATTGGAATTAGAAAATACGAAATATCAGAACAAGATTTCATAGCTCATACAGAATAATTTAGAAAAAAAGACTTAAATTCAAGATTAAAAAATAAAGAATATTAAAAGATGAGTTTAGAGTCCATATATAAATACAATTAGAAACAACAGAAATTCAGAATTAAAAAATAGAAATATTGAAAGAAGAGTCCAGAGTCCATATAGGAATCTAGAACAATTTGAAAGTCAAATTGAGAAAAAAAATAAAAATAGAGCTTAGAGTCCATAGAGAAATACAATTTAGAAATAACTAAAATTCAAAATTAAAAAAAATAATATTGGGAGAAGAATCTAGAATCCATATAAGAATATAATTTAGACTCTAAGAATATAATTTATTTTATAATTTTAAAAATAAGGAATAGTGGAAAAAACTTAGAGTCCATATAGGAATACAATGATAACAGAAATTTGGAACTGAAGAATAAGAATATTGAAAGAAGAATATAGAGTTCATATAGGAATTTAGATCAGTTGAAAGTCAGAATTAAAAAATTTGAAAAATTAAAGGTAGAATTTAGAGTCTATATAAAAATACAATTTATAAGTAACTAAAATTCAAAATTTAAAAACTAACTAAGATTGGGAGAAGAGTTTAGAGTACATATAGAAATACAATTTAGAAATAAGTAAATTCGAAATTAGAAAATAATTAATAACTATCAATACAATACAAAATTCAAAATTGTGTTGTTATTTGTAATATATTTTGATAATAAAATATGCTATATTATATGAGAAAAAATAACGATGTTACATGCTAGTTCTTTAGAATGGCTACTGTAGAGGCGTATGGATAACAGTAAATAACCAAATTAAAGAATACATCAGTATTTTCTTAACAATGTACAGATATAAAAGAAAAAGAGAGGACCCTCAGTAAATTTTCCTCCCTCCACATTCTAGCAAAAACTCAGGAAACAAAAAAAAACAGAAAGAAAACCACTCCGATCTCTCGTTTCGCGAAGGGACGAGGCAAATGCGTCGTCATTAGCATTGATGTCAAGCATCATCCACACACACTGGTGAAGCAATCAAGAAGCGAGACATGCAGCCTCCGTACGAGCTCAACCTTGTATATGGCTCGAGCTCGCGCCGCCGCAGCGAGTTCGTCCAGTACGCCGGCCGCCGCCGCTAGACCTTGAGCAGTTCAGCTCCGGTGATCCGGCCCGGCTGCGGCGCCTCCCAAGCTCGAGACGTTGAAGCCAGCGTCGATGCTGGATCCCACACCCGGCCGCGCCGCCTCTCCCAAGCTCCGATCCGATATTCAGACGTCGATCGGTGTTCGGAGACCGCGCCGCGGCCGTGGGAGATTCCATTTCCATTGGAGGGCGTGTCACGTGTGAGAGATAGGGGGAGATCCGGGTTAAGGTTAAGATGAGATACACTACATAATTTTTTTCCCAAATGATCAAAATCTACTTTTACATGCAATTGAGCCACAGTCAGATCAAAAGTGTCTGCGAAAATCGCTACTTTTTTATATGGATGGCGCACCCGTACACGAAAATCTAATTTTCGCTTGCGGATGCTTATATCATCCTCACTCAAAAATAAAAATCCTAAAAAAAATCAAAACCGTAGCTAGGTGCGGTCCGCCGCCGCCACCAGATCCACGCACGGGTGGCCTCGCCGCCATCGCCCTCGCCTTCTCTGCCAAGTGGGGGAGGAATGTTCCCCTGCGCGTCGATGGTGGGGGCGGCCGCGCGACCGCCGCCGGTCGTGCTCCTCCCGCTACTGTCGCTGCCCGTTGCACGAGGTCGCTGCTGCCTGCCACCGCTCAAGCCCACCCACCGCCACTGGCTAGCTAGTCAGCTGTCAGCACGGCTCTCAGGAGGGAAGTCGAGTGAGAGAGAGAGAGAGAGAGGAGAGAAGGTGAGAAATGAGATAGAGAGGAGTAATATGATGAAGAGAGGGGATGAATGAATAATGATAACTTGAAAAGAAAATTTAGTGCTAAGAGGGAAAGAGGATGTAAGTTAGACTTTTAGATGGACCTTGAAGAGCCTCGCCCGCGAAAATACATTTGCCGCATAGGAAAATAGGCTTATTTTCGCATACAGCTCCATAAGAGATTCGTTTGTGAAAATAGATTTTTTTGCATGCAGGCCTTTAAAAGAGTCGTATACGAAAATGGAAGTCTATTTTTACAGACGCTACCAGCTATGGTCCCCCTAAAACCTATATGGGTTCTCGTACATAAAAATCGTTTTATTTAGTAGTGTTAAATAAATATAATCACTTACACTTATAGTTTTATATGTTTTATTTTTCCGATATTTATATTCTTGTGTTTTGATTCTAGTGAACAGGTTAGAAACGCATCGAAACAAATGATCGAATCATATACTTTTCCACGAAAATCTTATAAAATAAACAACCGTATAAAGTTTTTAAAGAAAAATAAGCACAAGGTTATACCTCATGTTTTCTCTTTCCAATTACTCCAAATTCCCTTTGTTTATACTATGGGTCAATCCTACGATAGTTTTTAATATTCTTCAACGTAGAAATTCAATATTAATGCATGGGCATGACATTTAATTTTTACGTTTTATGTGTTTTTCCAATTCCGTCGGTGGATTTGGATATCATCTACTTCCTCTGTTTCACAATGTAAGTCATTCTAACATTTCTCATATTCATATATATGTCTAGATTCATTAACATTAATATGAATGTAGGAAATGTGTTAGAATGACTGATTTATTAACATCAATATAAATGTGGAAAATGTTAGAATGACTTACATTGTGAAACAGAGGGAGTAGCTTCATATAGCAAGTCACTATACCACGGATTCTTTTTCTTTGTTATATATAGAAAACGCACAATGTAATCACAAGCACCACACTCATATCCTTGCATCTTTTAACACATGCTTCAAAAGGCAGGAGTCTAAGCATAATTAACACACGATATTTCACTTCACGTCATGTAGCCTCCTTACCAAGTCACATATAAAGCACTTCGTGACCGTGGGATGGATGACATTCTTTTGACTTAATCTCTCTAGGACTTATAACACATTTGGTATTACAAATAATATCAAATGGAAAAAAAATCATCAACTACACCCCGTCGAGCTGTACAACTTAAATATAGAGAATTATCATGGTTAGGGATAAGTCATAACTTTTATCCTATGACTCACGGGATATACGGATATGGCACACCTTCGTATGTACGACAATATTCCGTATATAAAAAGGAAATCGACAAGAGACTATGGAAATAATCGCGCGGGTAGGCACATAACAGAGTCCTGCTCGGAGAGGTTTAGGATTTTACCATATAGTGCAAGGTCTGAGGTCTCCGAGTTCTACTTGGAGATCAAGGTGATCCATTGTATAAATACATACCCCCTAAGGGGTCCAAGGTATCGAATCATATCACTAGCCAACCCGTCACCACATAAGCAATCTGTAGGACTTGAAGCCTACTCGCTTAGAGATCTCATCGAGACTATCTCGTAAAGGATCTCGTCGGTAATCTCGGGATCAGTTGTTCTTCATTGTACTCTGCGGTTTTCTATATTAATCTCATATAAACTGGATTAGGTTGTTACGTTACGAGTGGACTGAACTAGTATAACCCTTGTTTTCTTGTTTGCTTGATATCATATCGTGTAGATCCTCGTACCAACTTATCCCAATACCCACATTATCCGGTCTACGGGTATTGTCACACCCCAATCCGGCACCGCCGTACAACGGCACCTGATAGGAGCGTGTCGTAGGAAAAACGGCGTGAACCGCTTCCTACGAAACCGCGATCTCAGTACCAGTCCCAGGACATAGCGCTGGTACCCACGGTGACAAATACGAATCATTGCAATCCTTAAAATAATTAGAGGACTTATTTACCTTAACTTAGGTTGCCGCTCGGGACAGCCCGAGATTACAACCGACGACACGGACGAGGCAACACCAACAACGGCAGCAGCAGCGGAAACAACGGACTAACCCCCAACACCACAGGCAACGGCTGGGAACTAGGACGAAACCCTAATCTTCACTTCACTTCAACTTCATCTTCAGAGCTGGCAGAACTATATTTATATAGAGAGCAAGGGTGAGTACTTACGTACTCAGCAAGCCAGGGGAACTTAGGTGGTTAATGCAAGTTTCAAAGAATAGGCTGTTATTTTTCAATCGGTTTTGTTTTCAAGGTTTTCAACAATCTAAGTGTGTGCTTTCCACAACCAGAGCGAGACAAGTCTCAGCTCAGTCGGGGTGAGAAGTAACAAATTTATTTATCAAGATTTGCACAACTCCCAGAGTTGGCCTCAAAGCTGGTTTTCCCAAACCAAACCATTTTTCCAAACTTCCCAATAATAGTGGTCCCCAAACGACCAATCACTTCCAGGGACTTCCGGTCCCGCTGTCCCCCGGACAGCTAATTGCTTCCCAAGCATTAGGTTTCCCAAACCTTAACACCTTTTCATAAAACAGGGTAAAACAAAAACTACGCTAAGGAATCACCTCACATCCACCCATGCCCGTGGGCACGGCTGTTCGAACAGTTTAATAACCTCTGCAGAGGGGGTACACTTTACCCACACGACGTTACTAGCCTTGGTCACCTAGCCCATGCAGAACAGCCACGTCTGGTGACTTTGGGGCTTTCACGACAAGGCATTTCGAAAGCCGACACAGGGTTACCATATGCCAACGAGAGGGGACCCAGACCAACAACAAGTTAGGTCCTAGACCATACTGCGCCAGGAAGCCCGGGGGTTCTCCCCGACACCACCCCATTGAATCCACATGTCTCTTGGCATCAAGGCTCCCTTGATTAGCTATTTACTCAGCCAGAGGTGTCCCATTCCACCCGTGTGGTCGCACTATTGTATGCTCGGATGTAATTCCAAAGGAATCGGTCCTTAGATGCGACCGCACAAGTATTCCGCCTAGGAATGGCCTTGTGTCGCGAGTTTTATTTTTAAAACTCATTTTCTTTCATAAGGCACCGACCCAGGCGTCGGGTTTTCCAAAGCTTTTGTAAACCAAGTTTTACCCAAGAAGTTACTTAGATTTTAAGTTTGAAGGCGACCGTCGATACTCGCACAGAGTGCACAAATATCGAGGCGCAACTAGATGGTTACAAGGGAACATGATATAACAATTAACAATGGAAGGATCAGATGCAACAAGTTGGGTAGGCCCACCGGTCTGCCTTGCAGACGGGGCAAACAGATTAAGTGCAATCCTATCAATGCATAATATTTTGCAAGCAAATTAATTAAGTTCAAATATAGGCTCAATATGTTCAAAGGTGGCTTGCCTTGCTTAGGGTCTTCACGAAGCTTCACAAATCTTCGAGAATTCCACTTGAAGAAAAATATCCGGTAACCGCAACTAGGCGCAAACAATCAAAAACCTAAACAAAGACCAAATAAAATATCCTATTTAGGCTAATTAATAGTGCCATTAGATAGATCACAATTTAATGGAATTATTGGAAGTGGAACGGGGTAAATCGGAGTTACGGATCAAGAGATATGAATTTTGGAGGTTTAATTGGAATTTATGGACAAAGGAAATGATTTATTGGAATTTATAGAAATAATATTCTCAAGAATATTATTGACAGTCACTGACGTGCGGGACCAAGGGAAATTATTTAGGGAATTTTGGAATGGAGAATTGGTTTATGGAGGCAAAGGAAAAAGGATTCAATAAATCCCTTGGAAAAGAAAAGGAAAGAGGGATGGGATTTATACTTCCTCCTTGGAAAAGAAAAGGAAAGAGGGATGGGATTTATACTTCCTCGGGGTGGCTAGGGCGCGGCCCGAGGGGTTTACAAGGCTTAGCCGGCCAATGGGCTGAGCGCGGCCACGGGGAGGCGGCCCAACAAAGGGGGCGCGGGGGGGGGGGGGGGTGAGAGAGGCGGCCCGGTGGACGCGGTCCACCGCGCGGGGCCCACGTGGCGGTGGTTGGGTTCACGGTGGGGAGGGCGCACGCGGGTTGCGGCGCTAGGGTTTCGGGTGCGTGTGGCTTAGGAGCGGTGCACTGGGTGGACAAACGGCGGCGGGCCCACGCGCAGCCCCATGGCGCACCGTGGTCCGCGCGCTTGGAGGGGAAAGCGGGGCTGGCCGGTTTGACTCGGTCTAGCCAAGTTGGCACCGACGTGGCGCCTACGTGGCAGCCACGCGGGCCGGTGGGAGGAGGAAGAAAGGGGAGGCCGAGACGGACGGCGGACAGCGGCCGAGTTCACCGGAGCCTTGCGGGACGGATTTGGTCTTCGGGGAGCACACCGGAGTGACGAGGGATTCGAGAGGGAGCGATCCAACGGCTCGGATTCGCCGGAGAGAGGCCGGCGACGATGAATCGCGGCGGCGCACGCCGGCAGCGAGAAAAGGGGGAAAATCCACCAGAGCAATGGGAGTTCGATTCGGCGGGGTGGGAGCATCTCCGATGTTCAAGGGGTGCATTCCCGGCGTCGGATGGGGTAGAGAAGTACCGAGGAGGGCCGGCGACGAGCGGCGGCCTCCGGGATCAGACGGCAATGGCGGTGGGGCCATGCCGGGCGGCGGCAGGGCTTGGGGCAGCATCCACGCGCGTTCGGGAGGGCTATCGAGCCGCTACGCAAGCTGGAGTGGAAGAGGAAAAGCGGGGAGGGAGAACGGGGGCTACCGCGTCGGGAGATCGCTGGGAAGAGCGTCCGACAGCGCGGCGGGACCGCCTCGGCCTCGAGCCGGGGAAGGAGATGGAGAGAAGGCGATCGGAGTCCCTTTCGGCTCCGCGCGCACGCCGACTTCCCGGCACGTGCAACGGCGAGGAAGGTGGTGGCGGCAAGGCGGCAAGAACAGAGGAAGAGCGGGGAGCGGCTTGGCTTTTATAGGCGGAGAAGAGGCGGTTTAGGAGGGGGAACCGACTTAGATGGTCAAGGGAGCTCGGCTATCGCGTATGGTCAAGGTGGGGGCGGCGAACTTGGCAGTCACGGGCGGTAGAGGGGGGGTCGATGGTGCCGGTCGGGGAAAAAGCAAAAGGGGAGGGAGGAAAGGGGGCTCTGCCCATGCCATTCTGGGAGAAAGGAGGAGGGAGAGAGAGCTTTGCCTCCGGGAGTTGGACGCACGTGGCTTGGAGCGGCCGGGCACACGTCGCAGGGGGTGCGGGGCCGAGCGGCGCAGGCGGCGCAGGCGCGGCAAGGCTGACGGTGGCGGTGACTGGTCGGTCGGCCATGCACGAGCGCACGCGAAGGCGGTGGCGGTTCGAATCGGCAAGGCGCTGGCGCGGCGAGGAGCGAGAGCGAGCGAGAGAGAGAGAGAGAGAGAAAGAACGAGAGAGCGATCTCTTGGCTCGGCTCGGCGCGTGCAACACACGTGCGAGGCTGAGGGAGGGGATAGGCAGGGGGGAAATGGGCCGAGAAGAAACGGCCCACAAGCCAGAGGGAGGCAAACTAGACTTTTTCAAAGAGATTGAATTGGAGAGAATTTGGAGTTTAGGTTTGAATTCAAAGATGATATTTAGGAACATAGGGTGGAGTCAAGGAATGGATTCAAAACGGGAATTGAATATTTTTGTAGTCGGAGCGAATATTCGGTAAGGATTCAAAGGAGACTCCGTATCCTTGGGGTTGGGACAATGGTATGGGATAGATTTCAAAGGTAGTTAGAGAGGTCAATAGATAGATAGATAGCTGGGTAGACAGGTCGATAGGTAGACTGATAGGTAGAAGGATAGATGGATAGATAGGTTAGATAAGTAGATAGATCGATCGATAGGCAGGGAGGGATTCAAGGTAGGGATTTGATATTTTTGGAAACGGGAACAGGTATTTGGCGAGGGTTCAAAGGAGGCGATTAACCTTTGGAATAATTGAACTCGGAATTAGAATCTTGAGGTGGAGGATTTTGATGGCGATGAGAGGAAACAACAGGATTTGAATTGAGATCCAAGGCACGACTTAGACTCACACTCAAAGAACAAAAATTTTCGCAATTAGGATTTTCAGTAAATTAGCTTTTAACGTCTCGCGAAAAGCGGGGCGTTACAGGTATCCCCCGTGGATAAGAATGTCTTCATCCAAGATTATTTAGAAAACTCAAATTCTCATATTCTTTTAAAAAATAGACAAAAAATATTGGGCCCCTAAACAATCTCAAATGAAAAGTTTTCACCTATAAAGTTGTAGAACCTGTCTAGAGAAAATACTTAGGCCATATTAAAAGAAATATTGTAAGGGTCTCAAAAAAACTTTTGGTTTATCACAATCGGACTTAAAATGACTTTCTATACATTTTTAAAGTTTGGACTTTATAAGGAACTGGATATTAGAACTTGCAACAAACTTTTGTGCACCTAAACGATCTTAAAAATAAAATGTTTCGACTATAGAGTTGTAGACATCATCGAGCTCTATAATTTTGATATAAAACTTGTCTCCATCCCAAGTCATTTGTAAAAACTAAAAAAAATCATTTTAAAAAATAGATCCAAGAGCTTGTAACGAATATTTGGACCCCCTAAACAATCTCAAATGCAACAATCCAGCAATTTACTCTGTTTCTAAGCCACAGTCGCACCGACTCTGCATCATTAATTTCAGGCACCCGAAATAATCCACTCCATATCAGCACCCTGCTTCCAGTCCGTTTAAGAAATGTGGTGTAGGATTTGGTATGACCACTATCCATCCAAATCCACTCCGTTTTACTTCCGGTTCATGATCATGTACTAGAATTAAAGGCTATGCAACTCTGAGCAGCAAATATTTACTAGTTACAACTAAATAGTTACACGGTAGAAATTTTCACTTCGTTTGAACTAATATAGTTGTTGTATGAATAGGTAACAAATCAAGCAATTCTTGAGAGGGAAAAGGTGGAGCTGGATAATTCTTCCACCAGGTACTCACTACAAATTAAATACCATTCCCTCCAGAATAAATATATTACGCCTTGGATAACACATCTGGTCAAAATTTTGAAACTTTGTCTCATCGAATTTAAAAATACTTGATTTGAAAACATAGAATTGGTATGTATAGATTTGTATTGAAAAATACTTTCATGATATCATAAACTGATTTTATAACTTATTCTAATTAAAAATTGCGCTCAAGATTACAACTCAAAGTCCAAAAAAGATTCAATGCTATATTTTTTTTATCGAATGGAGTTAATATTTACCCATACTACACTTTTTGAGCACCTTATTTATTACTCTGCAGATCCAAAATATAGGTCATTTTAATTTTCTCAAGTCAATATTTTACTCTGTATGATCCAAGATGAGTTGAGAAATATCCAATTAAGCTCGTCTTTTTTCTTTTGATTCCTCATTAGTCTTGCAAATTAAATTAATAGTGAAGTGAAATGAGGAATCAAAAGAATTAAGGTCATGACTAATTTAATTTGATTCCTGATGAGTTGAGAAAATATCCAATTAAGGTCATATTGAATTCGGGAAGTAGTTATTATGATAAACAGCATTCTTGGCTGCTTTTTCACAAAAGGATATATAGATTCACAGTTGTTAGTTTAGATGTCATGTCTTTACCCGTGCATATAATCAAGACCTTAAATTGTACAGAGGTAGCTGGTCATGAAGATTGCTGCAACTGGACAGTTTCTCTTGGTCCTTATGGCATGCAGTGTAATCCAAATCGTGTGCCAATCGTTACATGGAAATGAGACAGATCGACTTTCGCTGCTTGATTTCAAGAATGCAATCATTTTGGATCCACAGCAAGCATTAGTGTCCTGGAATGACAGCAATCAAGTATGCAGTTGGGAAGGTGTCTTTTGTAGGGTGAAGGCCCCAAACCATGTTGTTGCACTTAACCTTACAAATCGAGACCTAGTAGGGACAATATCCCCTTCACTTGGAAACCTAACATTCCTCAAACATCTAAACCTAACAGGAAATGCTTTCACTGGACAGATCCCTGCATCCCTTGCCCACTTGCACCGTCTCCAAACCCTCTCCTTGGCCAGTAACACCTTACAGGGAAGGATACCAAACCTTGCAAATTATTCTGATCTCATGGTGCTAGATCTGTATAGAAACAATCTAGCTGGGAAATTTCCTGCAGATTTACCTCATAGCCTAGAAAAGCTGAGACTTTCATTTAATAATATCATGGGAACCATACCTGCTTCTCTTGCCAACATCACAAGGCTAAAATACTTTGCTTGTGTTAACACTAGTATTGAGGGCAACATCCCAGATGAGTTTTCAAAGTTGTCTGCGCTGAAGTTCTTGCATTTGGGTATCAATAAGCTAACAGGTAGCTTTCCAGAAGCCGTCCTGAATATTTCTGCTCTAACTGAACTTAGCTTCGCTATTAATGATCTTCATGGAGAGGTGCCACCAGACCTGGGTAACTCCCTGCCCAATCTCCAAGCATTTGAATTAGGCGGCAACCACTTTAATGGGAAAATCCCATCATCAATAACAAATGCTTCTAACCTATACCTTATCGATGTATCAAACAATAATTTCAGCGGGGGATTGGCTAGCTCAATCGGCAAACTTACTAAACTGTCTTGGTTAAATCTTGAGGAAAATAAACTCCATGGACGTAACAATGAAGACCAGGAGTTTCTGAACAGCATTGCCAATTGCACTGAGCTGCAAATGTTCTCGATATCTTGGAATCGTCTAGAAGGCCGTCTGCCAAATTCATTTGGAAACCATTCTTTTCAGTTGCAATATGTGCACATGGGACAAAATCAGCTATCAGGGCAATTTCCTTCTGGCCTAACAAACCTTCACAATCTGGTTGTGATAGAATTGTCTGGAAATCGTTTTTCAGGTGTTCTTCCAGATTGGCTAGGGGCTCTCAAAAGCTTGCAAAAACTAACTGTCGGGGACAACAACTTTACAGGGCTCATTCCATCCTCCCTTTTCAATCTAACTAACTTGGTCCACCTCTTTCTATACTCAAATAAGTTTAGTGGACAGCTACCGGCAAGTTTTGGAAACCTTGAGGCCCTTGAAAGACTGGGAATTTCAAATAACAACTTTGATGGTACTGTTCCAGAGGACATATTTAGAATTCCAACAATACAATACATTGATTTATCTTTCAACAATCTAGAGGGACTTCTTCCCTTTTACGTTGGCAATGCAAAGCATCTGATATATCTGGTACTTTCATCAAATAATCTATCTGGAGAGATCCCTAACACCTTGGGCAACTCTGAAAGCTTGCAAATAATCAAGTTCGATCATAATATTTTCACAGGAGGCATTCCTACATCGTTAGGCAAGTTACTCAGCCTGACTTTGCTTAATCTGTCTTACAACAACTTAACAGGACCAATACCAGATTCTCTTAGCAATTTGAAGTATCTTGGGCAGCTTGATTTTTCATTCAACCATCTTAATGGTGAGGTCCCAACAAAAGGAATATTCAAGAATGCAACTGCCATTCAACTTGGTGGCAATCAGGGGTTATGTGGTGGGGTGCTAGAGTTACACCTACCTGCATGCTCCATTGCACCTTTAAGTTCAAGAAAGCATGTCAAATCATTGACAATCAAAATAGTGATACCATTGGCCATCTTGGTATCACTCTTTTTGGTTGTATTGGTCTTACTGCTCTTGAGGGGAAAACAAAAGGGACACTCTATATCTTTGCCACTGTCTGATACAGATTTTCCCAAAGTTTCTTACAATGATCTTGCAAGAGCAACTGAGAGGTTCTCCATGTCCAATTTGATTGGCAAGGGGAGGTTCAGTTGTGTATATCAAGGAAAACTATTTCAATGCAATGATGTGGTTGCTGTGAAGGTATTCAGCCTAGAGACAAGGGGCGCACAAAAAAGCTTTATTGCAGAATGTAATGCTTTAAGAAATGTGAGACACCGTAATCTAGTTCCTATCCTAACTGCATGCTCCAGTATTGATTCTAAAGGCAATGACTTCAAAGCTTTAGTGTATAAGTTTATGCCAGGTGGGGATTTACATAAATTACTATACTCAAACGGAGGTGATGGAGATGCTCCACATCAAAACCACATTACATTGGCTCAGAGAATAAACATTATGGTGGATGTATCAGATGCACTGGAGTACCTGCACCATAGCAACCAAGGAACAATTGTTCACTGTGACCTGAAGCCTAGCAACATCCTTCTAGATGATAACATGGTTGCTCATGTTGGAGACTTTGGCCTTGCAAGATTCAAATTTGATTCGACAACATCATCTCTAAGTTATTTGAACTCAACCTCCTCCCTTGTAATAAAGGGAACCATTGGTTATATTGCTCCAGGTAACTGTTAACTTTACCTTGTTTTGCATTGCTACATATTTAATTTATTGTCTGATATATGCCAACTTGTGAACTCAACTCTTGTCATATGTAATTTTAGAATGCTCGGATGGTGGTCAAGTTTCAACTGCCTCAGATGTATACAGCTTTGGAGTTGTTCTCTTGGAAATATTTATTCGGAGAAGGCCAACAGACGATATGTTTATGGATGGATTGAGCATTGCAAAGTATACAGCTATCAACTTCCCTGACAGGATACTTGAGATTGTTGATCCCAAGCTGCAACAAGAATTGATCCCCTGTTCTACAGATAAGGAAGATTTGGACCCCTGCCAGGAAAATCCAATAGCAGTTGAGGAGAAAGGCCTACATTGTCTACGCTCTATGCTAAACATTGGACTCTGCTGCACCAAGCCAACACCGGGAGAACGCATCAGCATGCAAGAGGTGGCTGCCAAGTTGCACAGAATCAAAGATGCATATCTCAGGGAATACTAGGGATCTCTCGTAGCATCGTGTGCATCATCTGTTTAAGTAGTTCGGTACAACATTGGGTAAAGAAGTGGCCATTGTCCTACTAGAATGTGCTGTTCCTTGTTACAACGCGCGGCAAGATGTTTCTGCTCTAATATACTGTTTGATTTGTTTTTCCTTGATAGAGGGTGGCATGACATCTTGCATCTTTCATACAGAGTTCTAGAGAAAAGGCCTTTATCCTTCATACGGAGTTCACCATATTCCGGATATTCCGGATCTTATATTGGCTTAACAGTCCCATATGTCTAAAAAAACTTGTACATTTATGAGGATTTTTACCGTCCAAAGGTACCTGGCGGTACCAATTCTTTACCGTTGGATCCGAGCAAATCCAACGGCTGGCAGAGATTGGTACTGCGGGGTGTCAGTTCTGTCCCTGATGTGGTACTGTTGACGGAGTAGATCACGACTACGGTATTTGCATACTATAGGGATTATTAGTGCCAAGGCATACGCGAGAATGAGATAAAAAGAGACAAATATTTTTATACAGGTTCGGGTCCTTTAACTGACAGGTAATAGCCCTACTCCTGTTAGCCGAAACCGGTGTTGTTTTTATTCATCAGAATCACACAAATACAGTACTTGGGATAACCTATCTAGCTGTCGTCGACTTGGCGGCATAGAACACCAACATATAATTAATGACGCGATAGCCTTTCTCCTCGAATACAGACGAGATCAGAGATGGCGCTAGATCCCTCTTGTCGGCCTTTGTGGCACCAGATTGGGTATGTCTAGACTTATCTCCGATGTCGATGTCTGGCGGCGTGTATTGGTGTCTATTTCGACTGACCATGTCCCCTCTCCTCCTATTGGATCTTGTATTTACACCCATAGATGTCCCCTTGTTCAATTAGAACTAAGTAGACAAGTATGGATACGACCGGAGTAATCCTTGTAGTTTCCAACTTGAACTATGTTTCTTCTTTCTTATTCGGAACATCTTTCGCATGCGGGGTCTGATTTCGTATAAGACTTGATACATGGTGGACCCAACCGAGCTTGGTTGTGTGCATGAGCTTGGTTGGATACGAGCTTGGTTGGTTGGTTAAGGATCATCAAGTACTAGCACAAGCTAGTTTGCAAATAACAAATTAAATAACTAATATGGAGCTAAATAAATAATACTAAAATAAGACAACAATAGCATGGAGTACTTGCTTTCCCTTCACCTAGAGCATCTCAATTGTCCGCATTAAAGTCGCCGCCCGTCATAAGTGTATTCACTTTTTTTCTTGAAGCAAATGACAGCAGGAGATCTGCTGGATATATTAGAAGGGGGAAAAGTACAGGGAGAGAGTCAAGAGCACCCTAAAAACAGAGGCACTTTCAGAGATTACAGACAAAATAAAAGCAGCTAAAGACCGCACTCAAAACCGTCAGGTTTGGCGCACAAGCTGTATGAGGTCTATATTTTCTTTAACCAGAAAAGCTACTTGGGTGGCACTTAGGTAACTTTGTTGAAAAACCCTGCGATTACGTTCAAGCCACACCTGCCACCAAGTTACCAGCAAAGCCCCTATCAATTTCTTTTTCTTTCTCCTTGCATCAAAGAAGCAATCTTTTCCCACCAATCTAAAATGCATAAGTGTTGTGACTGATTTGGCGCTTGATTGAGATCTAGCCAGCCACGAACCTGATTCCAAACAAGATTAGTGAAACTGCATTCTTTTGCTAGGTGGTTTGTGTCCTCGAATGCATCAGTGCAGAGACTGCAGATCCAATCACATGGCCAATGTCGAATCAAAAAGTTTTCTGCCGTGAGAATTTTCTGGTGCAGAATTAGCCAACCAAAGAAACGTTGTTTTGGTTCTGCTTCAGCTTGCCACAGGGGCTTGAAGCTAATGTTCGTAGTAGTTCCATGGAACTATGCCTCATAAGCACTCTTCGCTGTGTAATCACCATGTTGGGTCCATTTCCAAGTGATGTTATCCAGAGAGTTGGTTTGCAAGACGATGTGTTGCAATTGGCTGCCCAGATGCACCAAATCGTTAATTTCAGCTAAAGTAGTGATCAGTCTCAAAGAGGTGAGCCAGTGATTGTTTTCCAGTTCGAGTTGAACACAGTTTCCTTTCCTTTTTGCAAGTCTGAAAATGGACGGCGCTACGTCTTTGGGGGCACATCCGGACAACCAAAAATCATGCCAGAAAGATGTTTTCTTTCCATCTCCAAGCGTAATCTTAGTACTTGCTCTAAATAAACTCTTATCAAGCTCATCACATGGGGTCTCCATATTAATCCAAGGCTTGTTTTCATCTTTCCATTCATACCACAGCCATCTGAGTCTCAGAGCCCGGCAAACTTCTCTAAATTGAGGATTCCCAAGCCTCCCAAAGATCTTGGTTTACAGACGGCAGTCCAATTTAGGAGACAACTACCCCCACTTACTTTTTCAGGTTCATCACCCTTCCAAAGGAAAGCTCTTCTAAAAGGTCAATCCTTTTATAAAGCCATTTGTTTTGTTGAAGAATTGTGAGATGGTAGATTGGGGTCAAGGACAAAGTATTTTTAACCAGAACTTCTCTCCCTGCCGAAGTGAAAAAGCGGCCTTTCCAGCCAGGGATTCTTGAGCCTACTTTATCAACCAGTGGCTGGAGATCAACTTTCCTTAGTTTCCTTGTGTGCAATGGGAGTCCCAAATATTTACAGGGGAAGTCTGAAACTTTTCCAGGGAATATATTGAGGCAGTCTTCTAAGTTTATTCCACTGCAGCTTATGGGATAAATCTCAGTTTTGTCCATGTTTGTGTGTAGGCCGCTAACCTCTACAAAAGCATAGAGAATCTCACGAAGGGTTAGCAAATCTTCTCGAGTTGGCTTCAAGAAAAGGGCCACATCATCTGCATAAAGAGAACATCTGAATCGCCTGTGTCTTTGAAGACTTGCAAGGAGGTCGTGATCTTCGGCTTTCTCAAACAAGATATGGAGTGGCTCCATAGCAAGTATGAAAAGCAAGGGGGAGAGAGGATCTCCCTGTCGAAGTCCTCTTGCATGATTGATTTATGTGCCAGGTGTGCCATTCAAAAGGACCATCGAGGAGGAAGTTCCAAGCAGGTTAGAGATCCAATTGCACCATTTTTGGCTAAAGCCGAAATTTTCCAGGACTTCCAAGAGATAGGCCCAATTGACAGTATCAAAGGCCTTCAATATATCCACTTTGAGGAAAAGAGTTGGCTTTTTGGCTCCGTGGAAATACTTAATCATGTTTTGAACAAACAAAATGTTGTCTTGAATTGCTCTTTTCCTAATGAAAGCAATCTGACTTTGGGAAACCAAGGCTCCTAGTTTGGGAGCAAGTCTGTTAGCTAAAATTTTAGCTAAAATTTTTGCAAAACTGTGCATAAGACTTATAGGTCGATAATCTTCATCTTTAGAGGCATCGGTTTTCTTAGGGACGAGGCAAATGTTGGCAGAGTTGAGGTCATGCAGTCTGAAGGAACCTAAGTCTCCGAAGAAGGAGACCGTGTTCATGAGATCTGTTTTGATAATATCCCAAGCCTGCTTAAAGAATTGCCACTTTTAAGATATGGCAATTAAGGATTTGCCACTCGCTCTCTATGACATGGGGCTCTCGTGGGCATCCACATCGTCGAGCTCCGCCTTTGCTGCCGTTTGGGTGAGGAGAGAGGAGTTTGAGAGAGGAGAGGAGAGGAGAGAAGAGGACAAGGAGCTGAGGACTTAGAAATATCATGTGGAGCTCTGTATCCTCTCGCACCTATTTAAATGCCATAACCGATTTTCACATGCGGACAGCTTAAAAAGCCCACCTGCAAAAAAAAAAGTGTATTATTGTAGATAGCATCTTTAAGCCGTCTGCCTATGAAAATAGATTTTTCTGGTGGCCAACCATTAGACCACTCTTTATATATTTTCGCAGGCTGATAATTGTAGTAAAAAATAATGTCTGTATGTGAAAATATATGTGCCTCACTGTAGAAAATTATTTTTCTAGTAGTAGTGTTAGCTGCTATCTTGCTATCTATCTAGTCCCATGTGCTATCTATTGTAAACCACGGTGATGGTTGTTATCACCGAGATATAAACAGAGGTGTGGCCCCTGAACCGGGCTTGAACGGTTCTGCAGCTCTGGTTTTCCTATCCCCGGCTCTGAAAGTTGCGGCGCCGGGTGAAGACAGTTGCAGCAAGCTGGATATGGTACAGGCATATTGACTTGACTCGAGACCCTCCGATCAACCTAGGTACAGCAGAAAAGGACATGACAGTCGGACGTCTTTTGACTGAGCGCTGAACTGAAAAGCTGTTGAAACCATACGAAATGAAATTTTCTCGAAATTTCGGAGTCAATTGGTGTGGAAATTTCTTCCACGTCGTCTCGGTCGGTCGTTCCGCCGACCGACTTCTTACTCCAACATCTTGCTCTTTCCATTATTACGCATACGCTTTCCAAATATTTTCCTATAGAACTTTTTATAGAATAGCTGAAAAATCGTATTGAACTATATTTTTATTGTTTTAACTAATATTTAATTAACCATGTGTTAATTTATTATTTTTATTTTACACGGGGAAGGGTTCCCAACATTAAGGTTGTGTTCTTTCACATCAGTTCCCAACTCATCTCCCTCGTTTTTTCCGTGTGTACGCTTTTCAAACCGTCAAACAGTACGCATTTTGCAAAAAGTTTATATATGAATGTTGCTTTAGAAAATCATATTAATCCACTTTTCAAGTTTTTATGCTATAATACTTTATTAATCACGTGTTAATCTACCGTTCCCAACCCCTCCAAGACAGCACAGCCTCACGGCCCGAATAAATTGCCTCGATCCATCAATACCCAACTATTTAATTTTTTTTCTTTTTTTCAGGGAACCCAACTAATAATTGGCGTCATAACAGAAACAATTGGCAGCTGTTGACGAGCGATGACGCCCTGCCTGAGTCAGTCAGTCAAGATTGAATGAGCATTATACCAAGGCCTATCTATCTATATAATCAAGGAACCGCGTGTCTGATCGAACTCGCGTGCCATTCTAATCTGGAGATTGCTATTTGCTGGTCGATCGATCTGTATGGCTATTGCGTTGCTTACCGCAGGCACGCAGTAAGGTTGGGTTTCCATCCACCCTTGGCCGGCTTCGAGTGCCCCTGCTATCGCGAGCTGTAACTCTGTAAGCTTCTTCTCGGCTCTAAGTCTCATTTGCCATAGGAACATGTCGTTTTGTTTGAAGTTACAAAAAAAAAAGCTTTAAACAACAGTGTCTTTTTAAATCTAGACTAGCTAGTTGGATACACATACTTTGCCACGAATAAAAAAAATACATTATAATATTATCTAAAATAAAAAAAATCATGAAACATGTTTCCCATCTTTTTTTTTCTATTTGGAATATCCACCTTAGTTTGATTTTGTATATGGATATCCACTAATATTTGATTGTTTTCTTCTTAATATTAATAAGTTGAAGGGATAATTTGCATTTTTTTAATGTGAGTATGTATGTGGCAGATTCACTGTTATTACCACTAGATGCTTTGAAATGAGTCTAAACGTTGGGTGCATAGGTATAGCTAGTTTTATTTCAAAGACAATTGTGACATATAATACTCCCTTCATCCCAAATTAATACAACCCGAATAAAGCTTTTGCTACGGTTTTCAATAATAATAGTATTTTAACCATTAGTTTATTTTAAAGTACTTTCTCCGGTGTTTAATTGATGACATAAATGACTTTTATATGCATTTAATCATTCATCTTATTTAAAATTTTATGCAAATATACAAAGATTTAAATCATGCTTAAAGCACTTTTAATGATAAACAAAGTAATAGTAAAATAAATTATAGTTACATATTTTTTAATAAGATGAATTGTTAAATGTATGTATAAAAGTGAATGGCGTCATCTAGAGTGCATCATTACTATCAACCTAAATTAATATCAAATGATTGTTTTTTTTTAAAAAAAAGGTACCAATTGTGTAGTAGCAGGGATGAAAACATATGAAAATTTCCGAACGGACCGATACCATTTCCGAAAAGCTAATATAATATAGTATTTTTACCAAGTGTTACCGTGTCTAAAATATAGTTTTTCCAATTTCTGTCATGTCAGCGTGGCATTGAAGTAATTCATAAATATGGAAATTTCCCAACTGTTTTTATCCATTTCCATAAAAATAGTAAAATAATAATACCATTTCCGACCGTTTTCATCCCGTATGTATATAGTAGTGTGCGCACGCACGCACATATTGTTTCCCTTATTAGCCAAAAGTAACAAACACTTTTTTTTGCTAAAAACATGTACGCCTTATATTTGCCATGGAGTTTTATATCTTAATAATTTATTAGGGTTTGCAAATACTTTGGCATTTTACAGCGTTTTCTTAATATCCTAATTAATGTCTGCATATTTTACAACATTATCAATTTAAACATTCTTCGGGTACCTCAATTACTACCAGTTGAATACAGAGACGGGCACAAGATTTTGATGGTGGGTATTCAAAATTCACATTATAATATGCCATTGATGAAAAATAAAATATATATCTTAAGTTCTATGCTTATACTTGGATAGACAACTATCCCTTCTATCCCATAATATAAGACGCGGTCAAAGTTGATACGACTTTTAGAACTAATCTTTAGCTAATAATTTTTCATATACTATTCCCTCCGCCCCAAAATATAAGAAGTTTTAGAGTTAGACCCGGTTATTAAGAAAGTAGGTAGAAGTGAGTGGTGGAGGATTGTGATTGGATGAGTAGTGGAGGTAGGTGGGAAAAACGAATGGTGGAGGGTTGTGATTGGTTGGGAAAAGAATGTTGGTAGAAAAGTTGTTATATTTTGGGACAAATCCTGACAGCTAAAAGTTGTTATATTCTGGGACGGAGGGAGGATAAGGTTTGTAGTAATAAAATTATAACGATATGAAAATAAATTTAAATCTCAATATAATGATATAATTTTTAACAAATAAAATTAATTTTATATTATACTAAGTGTTGGCCAAATGTTTTAAATGTTAAATATTAAAATACGTGCGTGTCATATATTATGGGAAATAGGGAGAATTTTCTAAAGGTATTCAACTGAATACCCACGAGCCCCTTGGGCCTGCCCGCCCCTGGTTGAATATCTGAATATTTTACACCGTTTTCTTAAATATCTGAATTAGATCAAATAAGCAGACCATGAAGGTTACTACTGCATCTGGACATCTCCTCTTGGTGTTGTTTGCTTCCATCTTCCACCCAGCCGTCAGCTCAATTTCAGGAAATGGAACAGATCGACTTGCATTGCTAGAATTCAAGAATGCAATCACTCACGATCCACAGAAATCCCTAATGTCTTGGAATGACAGCAATCACTTGTGCAGCTGGGAAGGTGTCTCGTGCAGCTCCAAGAATCCACCTCGTGTCACCTCTATTGATCTCAGCAACCAAAATCTTGCAGGCAACATTTCCCCTTCACTTGGCAACCTGACATTCCTCAAGCATCTGTCATTGGCGACGAACGAGTTCACCGGACGGATTCCTGAATCTCTCGGCCACCTGCGTCGTCTCCGATCACTCTACCTGAGCAACAACACGCTCCAGGGGATCATACCGAGCTTCGCCAACTGCTCCGATCTGAGGGTGCTATGGCTGGATCACAACGAGCTCACCGGAGGACTCCCCGACGGCCTGCCTCTTGGCCTCGAGGAATTGCAGGTCTCGTCGAACACTCTCGTCGGGACTATCCCTCCCTCGCTCGGCAACGTCACGACGCTGAGGATGCTTCGCTTCGCGTTCAACGGCATCGAGGGTGGCATCCCAGGCGAGCTCGCGGCGCTGCGCGAGATGGAGATACTGACCATCGGCGGCAACCGGTTGTCAGGTGGGTTTCCAGAGCCGATCATGAACATGTCGGTGCTCATTCGGCTCAGCCTCGAAACCAACCGCTTCAGCGGCAAGATGCCATCCGGCATTGGTACCTCGCTGCCTAATCTATGGCGGCTCTTCATTGGCGGCAACTTCTTCCAAGGGAATCTCCCTTCTTCCTTGGCAAATGCTTCGAATCTTGTTGATCTTGATATTTCTCAGAATAACTTTGTTGGGGTGGTGCCTGCTTTCATTGGCAAGCTTGCCAATCTTACATGGTTGAATCTTGAGATGAATCAGCTCCATGCTCGTAGCAAGCAAGATTGGGATTTCATGGATAGCTTAACCAACTGCACTCAGCTACAAGCATTATCTATGGCTGGGAATCAGCTGGAAGGACATTTACCAAATTCAGTAGGAAATTTTTCTGTTCAGCTTCAGCGTCTTTACTTGGGACAGAATCAATTATCAGGGAGTTTTCCTTCAGGCATTGAAAACCTTCCAAACCTGATAGTTTTTGGACTGGATTACAACAGGTTTACAGGTTCTGTGCCACCATGGCTCGGCGGATTGATAACATTGCAGGTACTAAGCTTGACTAACAACAATTTTACAGGGTATATTCCTTCCTCCCTTTCCAATTTGTCACATTTGGTAGAGCTTTATCTGCAATCAAATCAGTTGCTTGGAAACATACCTTCAAGCTTTGGAAAACTTCAGTTCCTTACAAGAATCGACATTTCTGATAACAGTCTTAATGGTAGTCTGCCAAAGGAGATCTTCAGGATTCCGACGATAGCAGAGGTTGGGTTCTCATTCAACAATCTCAGTGGAGAACTTCCTACAGAAGTAGGGTATGCCAAGCAACTCCGCAGTTTGCATCTCTCATCTAATAATCTGTCGGGAGATATTCCTAATACTTTGGGTAACTGTGAAAATTTGCAAGAAGTGGTGCTAGACCAGAATAATTTTGGTGGAAGTATTCCTGCTTCGCTTGGCAAATTAATTAGCCTGAAATCTCTCAACCTGTCACACAATATATTAAATGGTTCAATACCAGTGTCACTTGGTGATCTTGAGCTTCTTGAGCAGATAGATTTGTCGTTCAACCATCTTAGTGGTCAGGTCCCAACTAAAGGAATTTTCAAGAATTCAACTGCCACGCATATGGATGGAAATTTGGGGCTTTGTGGAGGTGCACCGGAGTTACACCTACCTGAATGTCCCATTGTGCCTTCAAATAAAAGTAAACACAAGCTATATGTAACACTGAAAGTTGTGATCCCATTAGCCAGCACGGTGACACTTGCCATAGTGATATTGGTCATATTTATCTGGAAGGGAAAACGAAGGGAAAAATCAATATCTCTATCCTCATCTGGTAGAGAATTTCCCAAAGTTTCTTATAGGGATCTTGCTAGAGCAACAAATGGGTTCTCAACATCCAATTTAATTGGAAGAGGGAGATATAGTTCTGTATACCAAGGACAACTATTTCATGATATAAATGCAGTTGCTATCAAGGTCTTCAGTCTAGAGACAAGGGGAGCACAAAAGAGCTTCATTGCAGAGTGCAATGCTTTGAGAAATGTGCGACATCGCAATCTAGTTCCTATCTTAACGGCATGCTCAAGCATTGATTCAAGTGGGAATGACTTCAAAGCATTGGCATATAAATTCATGCCAAGAGGAGACTTGCATAAATTACTGTACTCAAATCCAAATGATGAAAGATCTTCAGGTATATGCTATATTTCACTGGCCCAAAGGTTAAGTATTGCGGTTGACTTGTCTGATGCATTGGCATACCTACACCACAGTCATCAAGGAACAATTATTCATTGTGATCTCAAACCTAGCAATATTCTTTTGGATGACAATATGATAGCTCATGTTGGAGACTTTGGACTAGCAAGGTTCAGAATTGATTCCAAAACATCTTTCGGTAACTCAAATTCTACAATAAATGGCACCATAGGATATGTTGCTCCAGGTATATGTGGTCTGTTTTACTCTTTACTTTCTTACTGATTTACTTAAGGGAACAGTTTCAAAAAATTTAATTTATGTGAACATTTGAACTAAACTCTTACTACATGCATACTGCAGAATGTGCCATAGGTGGTCAAGTTTCAACTGCTGCAGACGTATACAGCTTCGGGGTTGTTCTCCTTGAGATTTTCATAAGGAGGAGGCCAACAGACGACATGTTCAAGGATGGATTGACCATTGCAAAGTATACAGAGATAAACATCCCTGATAAGATGCTGCAGATTGTTGATCCTCAGCTAGTACAAGAGTTGGGCCTGTCCCAAGAAGATCCAGTGCGTGTCGATGAAACTGCAACACATTGCCTTCTTTCTGTACTGAACATTGGACTGTGCTGCACCAAGTCATCCCCGAGTGAGCGCATCAGCATGCAGGAGGTGGCTACCAAGCTACATAGAATCAGGGAGTCATATCTTAGATGAATACTACAGGAACACTGTCTGTCCTATCAGAACTTCAAATAAAAGTAAACACAAGCTATCTGTCGTGGTTAAAGTAGTGATCCCATTGGCCATCATTGTGGCACTTGCCATAGTGATACTGATCTTGTTTATCTGGAAGGGGAAGAAAAGGACAAATTCAATACCTTTGCCTTCGTTTGATACTGAATTTCCCAAAGTTTCCTATAGTGATCTTGCTAGAGCAACTAACAGATTCTCGATAGCCAATTTAATTGGCAAAGGGAGATATAGTTCTGTATACCAAAGACAACTATTTCAAGACTTAAATGTAGTTGCTATCAAGGTCTTCAGTCTAGAGACAAGGGGAGCACAAAAGAGCTTCATTGCAGAGTGTAGTACTTTGAGAAATGTGTGGCATCGCAATTTAGTTCCTATCTTAACAGCGTGTTCAAGCATCGATTCTAGTGGAAATGACTTCAAAGCACTCGTGTATCAATTCATGCCACGAGGGGACTTGCATAAATTGCTGTACTCAACCAGGGATGATGGGGATGCTTCAAATCTGAACCACACTACATTGGCTCAAAGGATAAATATTGTTGTGGATGTATCAGATGCATTGGAGTATCTGCACCATAACAACCAAGGTACTATTATTCATTGTGATCTGAAGCCAAGCAACATCCTTCTAGGTGACAATATGATTGCTCACGTCGGAGATTTTGGCCTTGCAAGATTCAGAATTCATTCGTCAACATCTCTGGGTGATTCAAACTCAATTTCTTCCTTTGCAATAAAGGGAACCATTGGATACATTGCTCCACGTAATGGTGAGCTTTTATCTTGTTTTGTGATGCTACATGTTTATTTAGCATGCCTATATATGTTAGTTTTACACTTGTCATGTGCAATCTATAGAATGCTCAGAGGGCGGTCAAGTTTCAACTGCCTCAGATGTATTCAGCTTTGGAGTTGTTCTTTTGGAATTATTTATTCGGAGAAGGCCAACAGACGACATGTTTAAGGATGGATTGAGCATTGCAAAGCATGTAGAGGTGAACTTCCCTGACAGGATACTAGAGATTGTTGATCCCCAGCTGCAACAAGAGTTGGACCTTTGCCAAGAAACTCCAATGGCGGTAAAGGAGAAAGGTGTACACTGCCTGCGCAGTGTGCTAAATATTGGACTCTGCTGCACCAAGCCAACACCGAGTGAACGCATCAGCATCCAGGAGGCGTCTGCCAAGCTGCACGGAATTAAACATGCATATCTTAGAGAAAACTAAACAAGCAATGCAATTACCTCAGTGGATTCGGTTGTCATATACTCCCTCTGTCCCATAATATAAGCGATTTTGGAGGGATGTGACACATACTACATATCTAGACAGACTTATCGTAGTACTAGGATATGTCACATCCCTCCAAAATCCCTTATATTATGGGACGGAGGGAGTATAGAGCATATGACCATCTAGGGATTCAAGTGGACCGACCCGCGAGTATACTTATATGTCAAATAAGTGGTAACCCGCGGGTTTCCGTATCGTAGCCTAGCTTGCCGCATCTAGAGATGTAAGTGGATCGATCCATAAACCCAATTATAAACAAAATTAATGGTAACCCGCACGGTTACCTATTAATTTGACCTATAAATGAGTCCGCGGGTTGCCCGCTTGCATCCTTGTGCATCCTCTGGTTACGTACATTGTATAAAGAAGTGGTCATTAATTCATTATCCTAGTGAAACCATTATGTTCCTCTGTTACATAGGGACAAATAATGTGTATATAGTTTGTACTCCTAGTTTGATTTGTTTCTTGTTGATACAAGGTTACACTCTATGATGTGACTTCTCATACGGACCAAATTTTCTCAGGCGCACATCTCACCGCTGGGTTAGCACCTCATTTTGATGTCTTAGGGGGTGTTTGGGAGAGAGGGAACATAAGTCTCTAGAGGAGGGACTTATGTTTTTGAGAGAGGGGCTAAAGTTTAGCCTCTCTCCCAAACACCCCCTTATATGCAAGTTATATAGTCCCTTCGTTTCTAAATATTTAACACCATTGACTTTTTAGCACATGGTTGACAGTTTGTCTTATTTAAAAACTTTTGTAAAATATGTAAAACTATATGTATACATATAAGTATATTTAACAACGAATCAAATGATAGGAAAAGAATTAATAATTACTTAAAATTTTTTTAATAAGACGAACGGTCAAACATATTTAAAAAAGTCAACGGCGTCAAATATTTAGAAACGGAGGGAGTATATTGTAAGTACGGTGTAATTACAATATAATTATACTGATATAAATACTTCACCCTTCATCCCATTTTAAGTATAGCCATGAGTTTTTTATCCAACTTTGATATTACATCTTATTTGAATTTTTTTATGATTAGTATTTTTATTGTTATTAGATAATAAAACATGAATAGTACTTTTAAAAAATAATTTAAATAAGATTAAAGTTGGAACGCTTGAAATAGGACGGAGGGAGTATAATTATATTTGACTTTTTTAAAAAATTGTCGAATGGACTGAATGGTAAAAAGTTAACATAGGAGTGCATCAGCAAGGCCGTGTAAACAGGCTGGGTTTTATGTGGGCTGTGATGGGCCCCGGAATCACTCTCCGTCCCTCGGTAACTGTAAGCTCCTCATGGCGAGCCGGAGCCGGTGACCGCTGGCGGCGGCGGCGGCGGCGGCGGAGGCGGAGGCGGGAGGCGAGGGTTACTCGGGATACGGCGGCCCGAGAGGAGATGGCAGCAGGTTGCAACAGGCGTTCCATGGTTTCAGGGCTCCACACCCTCCGGGTGACGCCGAGCCGGGGAGTATCGCCGTCTTGGAGAACCTAGGCCTCCTATCGCCAAATCTACGCCCATCAACGAGACCTATCAGCTGCGCTGGGATTACTTCCGAGGTTAGCCCAAAAAACCGAATCTCTACTATCTGAAACTCTGAACCATGACAGCATGTTCACAATTCTTAAAACTTTGGGAGTTGGTATATGTTAATATATCGTTGACTACTGTAACTCAGGTGTACCTTCAGTTCAGCGGCTGAAGGTACCAATTCATGCGAATAGTACAACGTTTTTAGATTAAATTAGATGGTGATGATCTATAAGTTTCATTGATTTGAGTGAGGATACCAGTGTAAGATATTTGTGAACATATTTACCAATATGATTACTCTATATGTATTTGGTCACTGAAAGTAGGGTAATTTTACCATCCTTAAAAAGGTACCAGGAGTTATCACATTTTCTAGCCACCTCCAAGTACTTTCTCAAGGACCATAAAATTTCTCCTGAAAGTATGCTTGATATCGAATGTTCCTGACCTTCAATCGTACATAACAATTTAATTTCAGGGGAATAATAGAAATGGCTGGAGAGACTTGATGAAGATGGATAGGTGGGTGACTGAACCCTTGGGTGATAGCTGGTTGTTGGCAACTTGGCGTGCAACTTGGTACATCACTCATTACAGGGAGAAGCGCATGCTAGTTGAGATGGAGGAGCTCCTCTGCTTCTTCACGGTAGAACATCACTATCACAGGTAATTGAACCAAACTGTGTAGCTTGTAGCCTCTCTTATGGAGGTCGGACCAAGTCACTGGTTAATTGAGCCTATCTTTGACTGCTGATATCTCATGGGATCCTGTTGTGACATAATTCATGTTTCATGGGGTTCTATAGTTTTAGCTTTCATGGCATTCGATCCATAAAAAATGGACCTACAGTACAAGCGTCAAGTAAATCACATGACCAGTGTTTCAGAAATGCATAATTTGTGTTTGAAAAAAGAGAGACATGATTTGAAGAAGTTTCATGGACGTATCAAGTAGATTAGAAAGATTTGCGCGGAGTATCCGAGTAGGGACAGAGGAGACTCCTGGTTACCATTCCACGTACATTTTCTAAATCCTATCCTCTAATAGTAGAGTTTCCAAGGGTTGATGGGAATCCATTCCAATTGGCCATCGCCATCTCTGTCCCAATCACATACTGTTCTGCTCTGCTTGAGAGTGAACTCCCTTATGTTTTTTTGCAATTTTTCCATGTGAAAGATTATTTCGATAGCAGTGGCTTCCACTTCCAGAATTTGGAGGCTTATCTGGAGCAGTGGCTAGAAGTGAATGGACTGCAAATTTGATAGATCCTTCTAGACTGCAGCTGGAAAGATGACCTGCTAGAAGAGGCAGATTTAAGGCTTGATGGATAGAGGAGAGAGGAACCTAGTCCAAATGAAAACACCTATAAGTAAGTAGCAGCTGGCCACAAGTACATGACGACCTACGCACTGCTGCTGCTCCAACTGGCCTGCATCGTATTCTGCAAGGTACACAGCTCGATCTAGTCATTTTTCCTCCCTCATCAAGTATTCGCTTGTGTAGATCTCATGGAGCTTAGTACTATTCATCAGGGTTTGGTTTGTCACTCACTCCTCATGAGTTAGTTTCTGCCAGAAAGAGTGAAAATTTACCATTGTTGGACTTTTACTGAGGAATATAAATAGCTCTTATGGTAAAAGTAAGTTCAAAAGATCCTTAAGGTATTTTCGTACTTAACAAATAACTAATGTTAATATCTGCTTCCAGGGACATCTAAATTGTGCTGTCCTTTTTTCAGCTTTGCATATAATAGGAAGGTGATACACAATACTCATAGCGTTGGCATGAAGCCTATTGCAATTGGACAGTCGTTCGTTCTGCTACTGGTTTTTAGTACTGTGAGTGTTGTCATTTGCTCTGATGGAAATGAGACAGATCGGCTGTCACTGCTTCAGTTCAAACAGGCTATCAGCCTCGACCCACAGCATGCCTTGCTCTCCTGGAATGATAGCACCCATTTCTGCAGCTGGGAAGGTGTCTCATGTAGTTTGAGGTATCCACGTCGTGTCACTTCCCTTGATCTATCTAACAGAGGTTTGGTGGGGCTCATATCTCCTTCACTTGGAAACCTGACATCTCTTGAACACCTCTTCCTGAATACCAATCAACTCAGCGGACAAATCCCTCCGTCACTTGGTCACTTGCATCACCTTCGATCACTTTACTTAGCAAACAACACGCTACAAGGCAACATACCTAGCTTTGCTAATTGTTCTGCTCTCAAAATACTTCATCTAAGCCGCAATCAGATTGTTGGACGTATTCCCAAAAATGTTCATTTACCACCAAGTATTAGTCAACTGATAGTAAACGATAATAACCTTACTGGTACCATCCCCACTTCACTTGGCGATGTTGCGACACTAAATATACTTATTGTTTCATACAATTATATTGAAGGCAGTATCCCGGATGAAATTGGAAAGATGCCTGTCTTGACAAACTTGTATGTGGGTGGAAACAATTTATCTGGTCGATTTCCACTAGCTCTCACAAACATTTCTTCTCTTGTTGAACTGGGACTTGGCTTCAATTATTTTCATGGTGGTCTGCCGCCAAATCTTGGTACTTCTCTACCCAGGCTTCAGGTGCTTGAAATAGCTTCTAATCTCTTTGAAGGACACCTCCCTTATTCCATTTCAAATGCTACTAGTCTTTACACCATAGACTTTTCAAGCAATTATTTCTCTGGGGTGGTGCCAAGTTCCATCGGTATGCTTAAGGAGCTTTCCTTGTTGAATCTTGAGTGGAATCAGTTTGAGTCGTTCAATAATAAAGATTTGGAGTTCCTGCACAGCCTAAGCAATTGCACTGACCTTCAAGTGCTGGCACTGTATGACAATAAACTGAAGGGACAGATACCATATTCATTAGGCAACCTTTCTATCCAGCTTCAGTACCTCTTTCTGGGAAGCAATCAACTATCAGGGGGCTTTCCCTCTGGCATAAGAAACCTTCCCAACCTGATTTCTCTAGGTTTGAATGAAAACCATTTTACCGGGATAGTTCCAGAATGGGTTGGCACACTTGCAAATTTGGAAGGCATATACTTAGATAACAACAAGTTTACAGGTTTTCTTCCATCATCCATATCCAATATATCAAACCTGGAAGATCTCCGCCTTTCCACAAATCTATTTGGAGGAAAAATACCTGCAGGCTTGGGAAAACTCCAAGTCCTTCATCTAATGGAACTTTCTGATAACAATCTCCTTGGCAGCATACCAGAGAGCATTTTCAGCATTCCAACGTTGACACGTTGTATGCTATCTTTCAACAAACTAGACGGGGCACTTCCCACTGAAATTGGCAATGCCAAGCAACTTGGATCTCTGCATCTATCAGCAAATAAGCTTACTGGGCATATTCCTAGCACCTTGAGTAACTGTGATAGTTTGGAAGAACTACACTTAGATCAAAATTTTCTTAATGGAAGCATCCCCACATCATTAGGAAATATGCAAAGCTTAACAGCAGTCAACCTGTCTTATAATGACCTATCAGGATCCATACCAGATTCTCTTGGTAGATTGCAATCTCTTGAGCAACTAGATTTGTCATTCAACAATCTGGTAGGAGAAGTCCCAGGCATAGGGGTTTTCAAGAATGCAACTGCCATACGGTTAAACAGAAATCATGGGCTTTGTAATGGGGCACTGGAGCTGGACCTACCCAGATGCGCTACTATATCTTCTAGTGTTAGTAAGCACAAACCATCTCATCTACTCATGTTTTTTGTCCCATTTGCCAGTGTGGTTTCACTAGCTATGGTCACATGTATCATCCTGTTTTGGAGGAAAAAACAGAAAAAAGAATTTGTCTCGTTACCTTCTTTTGGTAAGAAGTTTCCCAAAGTTTCTTATAGGGATCTAGCTAGGGCAACAGATGGGTTCTCTGCATCCAATTTAATTGGCACCGGAAGATATGGTTCAGTATATATGGGGAAGTTATTTCATAGTAAATGTCCAGTTGCTGTGAAAGTCTTCAATCTTGACATAAGAGGAACACAGAGGAGCTTTATATCAGAATGTAATGCTTTAAGAAATCTTCGGCATCGCAACATTGTACGGATTATAACAGCTTGCTCAACAGTTGATTCGAAAGGAAATGATTTCAAGGCTTTAATTTATGAATTCATGCCCAGAGGTGACCTGTATCAAGTCCTATATTCAACCTGTGCTGATGAAAATTCTTCAACTAGCCATTTTGGTTTGGCCCAAAGGGTTAGCATAGTGATGGATATAGCCAATGCATTGGAGTACCTGCACAATCATAACAAAGGAATTATTGTTCATTGCGATCTGAAGCCTAGCAACATTCTCTTGGATGATAATATGACTGCTCATGTTCGTGACTTTGGCCTTTCAAGGTTTGAAATTTATTCCATGACATCATCTTTTGGTTGCTCAACTTCTTCAGTTGCAATCAGTGGAACCATAGGATATGTTGCTCCAGGTAACTTCCTCTGCTAATCTTTTTTTATACTCATACTTGATAACAGATTTTTCAACAACAATACCAAGCTAACATCTGAACTGATGTCATATATGATCAACAGAATGCGCAGAGAGTGGTCAAGTTTCAACAGCCACAGATGTTTACAGCTTTGGTGTCGTTCTCCTTGAGATATTCATCCGAAGGAGGCCAACAGATGACATGTTTAATGATGGACTGAGCATCGCAAAATTTGCAGAGTTGAACCTCCCTGATAGGGTGTTGCAGATTGTTGATCCCCAGCTGCAGCAAGATCTGGAGACTTGCCAAGAAACCCCGATGGCCATAAAAAAGAAACTCACAGATTGCCTGCTTTCAGTCCTAAGTATTGGTCTTTCTTGTACTAAATCATCCCCGAGTGAACGCAACAGCATGAAGGAGGTGGCTATAGAGTTGCATAGAATTTGGGATGCATATCTCAGAGAAAACTAACACTTTTCCTACTATCAGTTATCGAATTTTTTTTGTGTTAATCAGGAGGTATATACCTCTGATACTATGATGTATTTATATATATACCTCTCAATACCTTTCTAGAACCACGCAAAACCTCTCTTTTACAGTGTTATATCATTCCAGGCTAAAAAATCCTTATGGCTAGAGCATCTCCAACAGAATCTCTATTTAATTCTTCAAGTTAAAATTTAACAACACAGGGAAAAGACGAGCTCCAACAGACTCGCCATCTAGATGACCAAGCCATCCAGTTGGCCAAATTGCTCCTCTGGCTAACCAAATGTAGCCAGCCTCCTCCACTGACCAAAGGTGGGTCTCACCCACTCCACTGACCAAAGGTGGGTCCCACCCACTCCTAGTCTCATGCTTCCTCTCTCTGCCAGTCACCTACTAGCAACTTGAGCGCATCGGCTGGGGGCGAACTAGAGGGCACGCCGGCCACGAGCGCGTCGCCGATGTCTGAGCCACCACCTGCCGCGGCTGTCATCGTTTGGGCCACCGTCTGCCGCGGCAGTCATTGTTGTCACCGTCACCGCCGCCGAGCATCGCCGCAAGCCCCCTTGCCTCGAGCAGTAGCAGCCGCCGCGCCACCACCTCCACATTCACCAGAGAGTGGGTGGGGAAAGGGAAAGACGTGATGAGAGATGAAGAATGGCAGAGATTGACATGTGGGACCCACTATTAAAATTAGAGAAGGTAATAGAGAGACTGTTGGAGTGAAATACAAATTTGATTCTCCAACTCTTTGGCAAGCTGGCTAAATAGGCATTTGGAGAGTTGAATTTAGAGATGTTGTTGGAGATGCTCTCAAAGATTTTGGAATTTCATTCCAATTTTCCTCAGTGAGAAATAGCAGTAGAGCACTAAGGGGTTGTTTGGTTGGCATACCCACATTGCCAGAGCTTGCCATACTTTATTTAGGTAACATGCCTAACATGTGGCCAATAAAATTGAAACCATACTTCAACCATAGGAGAGCAAGCTTGCCATACTTTATGTGCCAATGACATGTGGAACCCACATCATGGTGAAGGAATCTTGCCATAAGTGTGGCACGAAACAAACAGATGCCTAACTTTAATTAAACTTGTCTAACTTGAGTTGTGGCAAGGTGAGGCAAATTGTGGTAGTGAACCAAACAACCCCTACTCTCCGGTCAAGTAATGCCGTCTTCAACATTTTATGACTATGGACTGTTGACTATTGTGATCATCAGCCACAAAAACTGAATCTTTTTTTTTTCAGAAATTCTGAACCATTAGCAACTGTACAGACTGAATGTGTCTTGCGGCGGGCGGATGTTGATTAATTGTTGAGTATAGTAATCCAGGTATGTTCCTCACCGTCTTACAATATTAATATCATGATCACTTAACTCTGTAATGGTGACAAGGACGTCCAGAATTAAAAACAATACAATACTGCTTGATTAGCCAAAACCATTAAAAATGAGAGATTTAGGGATGACGTAGGTGATCTATTAGATTAAAGAAGCTGATAAGATGCCAATGCATTCACACTCTTATCAATACCCATAAACGATCATGGATGTCATTAGTAAACACTGTAAAACATGATGGCATGGGTCTAAATTACTACGGATTATAACAGAGCCTGATCGCATATGATTACTAAAACAAATAGCATACGAAGATATGTCATCTTACATTCACCGGCCGGTCGGTTGCATCAGCATCAGGAAGTCCAAATGCTAGTCATTCTGTTTCAGCCTACCAACCATGTACTTCTATTAATTTAAGATACAAGTGTTTGATTGACTGACTTGAACACTGATAAATTAATGGATGCTAGCTGCGTGAATCAGGCATTCTGCCCAAGCTAAGCTAAGTCCTGTGACAGACATGCGTATTGCACTATTGCGCGTTCGCCATTCATGAGAGCATATCTGCCTCTGACCTATCAGGTAAGTTACTGGTATAGTAAGCATCTTGTTCATCAACATCTTGTTTAGCTTTAGGTGTCCATGCAGTTGATAATTCATCAAACTGATCAAATAACTTGTACTGTTGTCAGTGTGCTGTGTGCTCCATATTTGGGTAGTTTGTTGCAATCGGTTTATTTCTCTGTATCTGACCCTGTGTCACTGATCTTGCATATTACTCAAGGCTTTCACTTACTCTGAATCCAGCTGAAGAAGAAGCAGAGAAGAAAGCAATCCGTTCTTCAGTAAAGTAACAGCTGAAGTTCAGAGAACAACAACCCTTCAGGCTTCAGGTATCAACAGTTAATAATTGCCAACATTTCATCATCACCATCTAAACAATAATACTCCTTTGTGTTTTTATTTGTCTATACACATGAACCAGAACCAAAATTGGAACTAGCCATGAAAGCTCCTTCAGTTGGAGAGCTTCTCTTGGTGTTCATAGCCTGCTCTTGCTGTGCACATGTCGTCTGCAGCTCGTTGCCTGGAAATGAGACAGACAGACTGTCACTGCTTGAGTTCAAGAAGGCGATCAGTGGTGATCCACAGCAATCCCTGAATTCTTGGAATGAAAGCACCCACTTCTGCAGTTGAGAGGACGTCTTGTGCAGGGCGAAAGCTCCACTCCGTGTCACTTCTCTGAACCTGACAGATTGTGGTTTAGCAGGCAATATCTCTCCATCAATTGCCAACCTGACATTCCTAAAGTCTCTTTCTCTGGGTAAAAATTCATTCTTTGGAGAAATCCCTGCATCACTTGGCCACCTGCATCGCCTACAAACTCTTGTTTTGAGTTACAACAAATTGCAAGGGAGGATACCTGATCTGGCAAACTGTTCTAACCTCAGGTCCCTATGGCTTGATCGCAATAATCTTGTCGGAAAAATTCCAAATTTGCCGCCTCGGCTTCAAGAGCTTATGCTTCATGTTAACAACCTGAGTGGAACTATCCCTCCTTCTTTGGGCAATATCACAACGCTAACTAAGTTTGGTTGTGCATTTAACAATATTGAGGGTAACATCCCAACTGAATTTGAAAGGTTGCCTGGGCTTCAGTATTTATCAGTCAATACCAATAAGTTGGCAGGTTGGTTTCAACTAGCCATCCTAAATATTTCCACTCTTGTTACTCTTGATCTTGGTGCGAATAATCTACGGGGGGAGGTACCATCTAATCTTGGAAACTCTTTGCCCAACCTCCAGTATCTCATATTGTCAGACAACTTCTTTCATGGGCATTTCCCTTCTTCATTGATAAATTCTTCCAAGCTGAACCTTATTGACATGGCAGAGAATAATTTCACTGGGGTGATCCCTAGCTCCATTGGAAAGCTTGCAAAACTCAACGTTTTGAGTCTTCAGTTGAATCAATTTCAAGCTGGCACCAAGAAAGAGTGGGAGTTCATGGATAGCCTGGCCAATTGTACTGAGCTAGAAGTTTTCTCCGTAGCGAGAAATCATTTACAAGGCCAAGTACCAAGCTCACTAAGTAATATTTCTTCTCAGCTTCAGTATCTATATTTAGGGAAAAATCAACTATCTGGAGGTTTTCCTTCTGGAATAGCAAAATTCCACAACCTAATTATTTTAGGATTGGATCACAATCAATTTACAGGTGTTGTTCCAGAGTGGCTTGGAACTCTTCAAGCATTACAAAAATTAAGCTTGCTTGACAACAACTTCATAGGGTTTCTTCCAACCTCCCTTTCAAATTTGTCTCAATTGAGTGAACTCTTTTTGGGCTCTAACAAATTTGACGGGAACATACCACTAGGCTTGGGTGACCTCCAAATGCTTCAAGTATTGAGTATTTCCAACAACAATATTCAAGGTAGGGTACCCAAGGAGATCTTCAACCTTCCAACAATAACGGAAATTGATTTATCGTTCAACAAGCTATTTGGGCAACTTCCTACTGAAATAGGCAATGCCAAACAACTTGCATCTTTAGAGCTTTCCTCCAATAAGTTATTTTGGTGATATACCAAATACTTTGAGCAATTGTGAAAGTCTAGAAGACATCAGGTTGGATAGAAATGCTTTTACTGGAATCATCCCTACTTCATTAGGCAACATAAGAAGCTTAAAAGTTCTCAACTTGTCTCACAATAAATTAACTGGATCAATACCAGTATCGCTTGGCAACCTACAGCTTCTTGAGCAACTTGATTTGTCATTCAACCATCTTAAGGGCAAGGTCCCGACAAATGGTGTTTTCATGAATGAAACTGCCATACAGATTGATGGAAAATCATGGGCTCTGTGGTGGAGCAATGGAGTTGCACCTACCAGAATGTTCTATGACTCCAAATCCAACCAAATCTAAGCAATTTATGGTACTCAAAATTGTGATCCCAACAACAAGCATCATATTACTTGCTATAGAACAACCATATCTATCATGTTGCTCAGGAGGAGAAAACATGAAGGGAATAGCACATCTTTGCCTTCGTTTGGTAGAAAGTTTCCAAAAGTTCCCTACAATGAGCTTGCTGAGGCAACTGAAGGGTTCTCCGAGTCCAATTTAATTGGCAAAGGAAGATATGGTTATGTTTATCGAGGAAACCTGTTTCAAGGCACAAATGTAGTTGCGATCAAAGTTTTCAATCTAGAGACAATGGGGGCACAAAAGAGCTTCATCGCAGAATGTAATGCTTTGAGAAATGTGCGACATCGTAATCTAGTTCCAATTCTAACTGCTTGCTCAAGCATTGATCCCAATGGAAATGATTTCAAAGCTTTGGTCTATGAGTTCATGCCAATGGGAGACTTGTATAACCTACTATACGCACCTCAATGTGATTCAAATTTGAGACACATTACACTAGCTCAAAGGATTGGAATAGTGGCAGATGTAGCAGACGCGATGGACTACCTCCACCATAACAACCAAGGTACTATTGTTCATTGTGATTTGAAGCCAAGCAAAATTCTTCTCGATGATAATATGACGGCTCATGTTGGAGACTTCGGCCTGGTAAGATTCAATTTTGGTTCCACAACAGCATCTCTCGGAGACACGAACTCAACTTCTTCTGCTGCGATAAAGGGAACAATTGGATATATTGCTCCAGGTAGTGATCATCTCTTCATTGTATTTTTTTTCTTTGGATTTATCTATTTTTTTGTGTTAACCTGCTAGTGTAGCACTAATTTCTCTTATATGTGATTTTCAGAATGTGCAGGGGGTGGCCAGGTTTCAACTGCTGCAGATGTCTATAGCTTTGGAGTTGTTCTCCTCGAGATATTCATAAGGAGGAGGCCAACAGATGACATGTTCAAGGATGGATTGACCATTGCAAAGTTCACAGAGATCAACATCCCTGATAAGATGCAGGATATTGTTGATCCTCAGCTGGCTCAAGAGCTGGGTCTATGCGAAGAAGCTCCAATGGCTGATGAAGAAAGTGGAGCGCGTTGCCTGCTTTCTGTGCTTAATATTGGACTATGTTGCACTCGATTGGCACCAAACGAGCGCATCAGTATGAAGGAGGTGGCTTCCAAGATGCATGGAATCAGAGGTGCATATCTCAGATGATACTAAATTAAAGGCTAAAGCAGCAATATGCTACTTTGTGATATTCTGTTTTGTTCAATTTTTTTAAGCGTTTGTGTGTACTTTTTAATGAGATCAACATTGTTTTTAGTGATATTTTATCCTTGAAGGTACACTGAGAGTTACTTCTATAGTGTAAGTTTTGGCTCGTATTCCGACCATCACAAAATATAGCTACTTGTAGTGTTCAGATTTTGTCCTAAAATATAGTTATTTCTCCATTTCCTACCTCATTTCAACCATTTACAACCATCTCTTATTTAATTTCTCCACTTACTTTCTCATCTCAACCAATCATATCCCTTCACTCATTTAGTTTCACATATCTCCTTAATCCCTGTGAAATATTCCAAAAGTGCTTATATTTTGGTACAGAAAGGGGTATGCACTAAAAATGAGCACTTGAAATTGTGTGACACATCTCAAAGTTCATAAAATCACTCTTTTTTCAGTAAGTGTTAACTGGTCATAGCTCATTACTTTAGATAATAGATAGAAATATGGCCTCTATGAATATAAGTAGATATACACAGCCAAAAGTTATAGGAACACTCAGACTCCAAGCCTTATAACTGAAGAACAGCAAAATAAAAAACAAAGAAATGGAGTGAGAAGACTAGGCATGAAAATTACTTCCAACTAGCTTCACCACTCAAAAAAACCACACTTAAGCGATCTTGAGAGCGGCCCAAATTCATGTAATCCTTTGTTAGTGTTCCATTCACCTTCAATCGTTTTTGTCCACCGCCCTACCCCTACTGACGATCGGATCCATTCAACAGACCCGATAGCTCCTGGTCCCTAGTGCCTCGCTGGATGACATTGTCCAAGGGACGCAGAGAAGAGCCAATGTTGTTTGCTGTTGCACGAACAGATCCCGACACTTACACATCTGATCCAAAGACACTTAGGCTCTACATCCAATGTCCCCCTCCAACCATCATTGTCGCCAACACCTCTACCGATCGCTTCATTCGGTAACGCTTGTGATAATCGGATCTTCACAGGCGGTCCTCTTAAGAGACCGTCTGCCAAAGTCTCTTTTTTTTTCTGGCGGGCTCGGTTCCTCGTGCGAAAATCATTGATTTTCACTAGCCTTTTGTTGTAGGCGGTCCATTTGCCAACAAAAACTAGTTTTGTAGTAGTGGCGGTGAGGCGGAGGAGGGGAGAGCACGCGTGGTTTGGTGGGTGGCATCTCTGCCCGTGTCGCTATTCTCGATTTTACATCATTAAAATAAAAAGGTGCCACGATACACTAATCCTCTCGTAATATAATTTTATTAGCATGACTGTTTTTTTTTAAAAAAAAATCTGCTATTATTTATGCAAATTGCGAAAGAGATAAAAGACTAAATTAAGAGGAAGCTGCCTCACGTGCCGATAGTTTACAGATACTTTATTAGCCGGAAGGAATGCGTGTTTGCAAGCTATTTGTTCAATGAGATGGATGGGGAGAAGAACCTTAATCAACGAAGGGTTCAACATTATCTTTTCAAAAGATGTCAACATTTCATAATTATCGAACGGTACGTACACGTCACGGAACGAGATTTGGAGTAGATCGAGCTATGCCTTTGACATTGACTCTTGGATGGCTTGCAGAGAACGAAATTAAGCATGACTGATTTGAGTCATCATTCGGCTGCAGGTAATGCTTGGTACCAAACACACTCACCCTGGAAAAAAGTACATATCGTTGGTTACTTTATGATGATTAATTAAGGTCGTTTTCATGGATTACGACGTTTTTACATAATTACTATGAAATCTTTAATTGCCGGCCGGTTTGATCTTCACATAAGATGCTAACTAATGACAAGTTAACAACGTTAAATTTGTTCGGTCACGAACTCGACTTGAGACATGTCAACATTCCATGACTAAGGCCCTATTTAGTTCACAAAATTTTTTTCCCAAAAACATCACATCGGATCTTTGGACACATGCATGGAGCATTAAATATAGATAAAAACAAAAACTAATTACACAGTTAGGGAGAAAACCGCGAGACAAATCTTTTGAGCCTAATTAGTCCATGATTAGCCATAAGTGCTACAGTAACCCACGTGTGCTAATGACGGATTAATTAGGCTCAAAAGATTCGTCTCGCGGTTTCCAGGCGAGTTATGAAATTAGTTTTCTTATTCGTGTCCGAAAACCCCTTCCGATATCTGGTCAAACGTCCGATGTGACAAAAAAAAATTTCCCTTTCCTCAACTAAACATGCCCTAATGTAGTGATAATAGTCCTATATTATCTTGGGTGCATACGCAACCAAACTATGAGATTTTGGAGTACTCCTTTCATTACGTAATATAAGTCATTTTAACATTTTTCTCAAATTAAATTTTTTAAATTTGATTAAGTTTATAGATCAATTTAGCAACATATAGAAGTTCCAATGAGCACAACTCGCCTGACTGATATGGTGGCATGCATGGAGCCATGGACACGGTGCTGTATGTATTGACCAATGGAAACGTCACCAGAAAATAAAAAAAAGTATAATTAGTTTATCTTTTTTATTGTAAAAGGCTGGCTACACAACTCGCTATTGTTAATAGTTTTTTTTTCTTCTACTACATACGGAGTAAAACGCTAGCATTTGACAGAGTAATTAATTTAATTTAATTACTATTGCTAAGTACGCACCATGAGCTGAGGTATCACATCTACATCTTGTAGTGTGAAATTTATACATCGTGGCCATCGAGATACTAAGAGGCCACTTCATATCTTCTTAATTACTGTATTTTTTTTTATTTTGATAACATGGTATGCTTCCGAGATTGCTAAGGGGCGATCGATCGCCCCTAGCGATCAGGACTCACCCCTCCCCCTCGCTCCACCTGATTTCCTTTTTTGGCACCACATTACTTTCCTATTTTAGTAAATTTATGCATCTAAAGTTTATACACCTCAAGTTTACACATCTAAAGTTTAGAGACCAAAAGTTTATAAGTCAAAAGTTTATATATCCGATTCAAATTTGAATTTGAATTCAAATATTTTTTATATATAGTATTTCTATGAATCTAAAGTTTATAGACCCAAAGTTTATAAGTCAAAAGTTTACATACTTGTTTCAAATTTGAATTTGAATTATATCCGATTCAAATTTAAATTTGAATTCAAATATTTTCTATATATAGTATTTCTATGCATATAAAGTTTATAGACCCAAAGTTTATAAATCAAAAGTTTACATACTTGTTTCAAATTTGAATTCAATTTTTTTATATATAGTATTTCTATACATAAATTTTTTTCTAACTTTTTGTTTTTTTAAAAAAAAATTGTGATGTACTGTAGTAGGAGGAGGAAGGGGGAGAGGAGGGAGGAGCGTATATGCGTATAGGGGGATGGCCGGACGGGTGATCGCTGCCCATTAGCCTTACCCGTATGTTTCTTCCATTCGTCCGAAGGAGGTAATGGAGACCGACACATTGTCCTCGATGGTTGGCGATCATACGGAGATGCTAGGTGGGTAGTGACCAGTGATTGCAGTTTTGGTTTGAAATTTTGGACCCCCCAACAAGTGATTATCTCAGCCAAAATCTTCAGTTTTTTTCTCAATTTTTTACGAATTTGATCAAAATTTAGTCAAATTCAGTTAAATTATGTCAAAATTTCAGAAAATTTTGGTTCAAAATTTCCAAAAATACCGAAATTTTGGAAATTTTGGAAGAACCAAAATGGCCGAAATCAAAATTGAAAACCCTGGTTGTGACCGCTGTCTTAATTGGAAAGATTAGTAGGTGACAACTAAAATCGACTCAGCGGCTATGACTACTCGTGAGCGTATCTTTTTTGGTGGGCACCCGTCATTTAAAAGATGGGGGGGCATTTGTTGCTCCTATGTGCTCGCTTTAGCCACACGGAGACATAAAGTACAAGCATCAATGACTCTAGGGTGAAAGCTCTGATCTAGACATTTGGATTGAGCTGTGTGTCACCTCCTTATTGAAGGTGTCATATCAAGGTTCTAGATGAAAATCTACCCCTATTTTTGGGTGAGAATGGCAAATATGGGTTGGGTCCTTAAAGGCATTGTTGTGGACTACTTCCTCCGTTCCTCCATCCCAAAAAAAGACTAGATTTTCGTGTCTAATGTTTGACTGTCCGTCTTATATGAAATTTTTTTGTAATTAGTATTTTCATTGTTGTTAGATGATAAAACATGATTAATACTTTATGCGTGACTTGTCTTTTTAATTTTTTTCATATTTTTTCCAAATAAGACGGACGGTCAAACGTTAGACACGGAAACCCAAGATTTGTCTTTTTTTTTTAGACGGAGGGAGTAGGCGAATAATACTCTATGCGTTTGTCTTGGTTATGTGTGGGTGAGTTGCTAGAAGGCAACATGATATGTTCATGTTTGCCTTAGTCTTTTCCTTATTCTTTTTAGGCTGTGTGCACATCCTGGTTAGGCTGTGTGCACATCCTGGTTGATGCAGAGGCCGGGTGTAATTTTATTTAATGAAATTCTTTCCATTATATTTTTTTAAAAAAAATGAAACTCCATACCCTAGCTGGGATTATCCTGTCAAAGAGGAGAAAACACCATGAAACAACCACCATCGACAGTTTTTCACATGAAGCGGCTACGTACACAACCGGTAGAAGAAAACACCATTGCCAGTTGCCGCCGGACGCACCAAAGCCCTTGTTCTTGTAATTAGTTTTTGTGACTTTGTCGTTTTATATTAAGGTTATTAGCCGTAGTAGTAGCAGGTTCATTTTGATGCTAAGCTAATCCGGTAATCTCCAACTCGACGTCTTCTTCTCCGTCGGTGTTTCTCGCCGCCGGCCGGCCGGCCGGGGAACCTGTCGCCGCTGCATGCCCACCGATCAGCCGTAAGCCTATATTCTCTAGCTTCTTGTTCATCTTTCAGTCAGGCAATCGCCTGGCTCTCTCTCTATATATATATATGCTTCAGTTATAAACTGAAATTAATACTGCATTCATGCAGCTGGGTTTTCATAATCTGAAACTGTCAGTATAACAGTTTGTGTGTGGCATCGGATAGAATTGAAATTTATTTTTTCTTGCGTATGGAAATTCAAAATGAATGTGATCGATCATGGACTAGATAGAGAAATTCAAACTGCCACTGGTTTCTCATGTCGGCAGGGATGAAACAGGAGAACACCAGCGGTGTCTGTGTGCTGTAGATAGAGATAGACCCAAATACAAGTTTCAGTAATCTGGAGGCATGTACACTTGTGCAGTCGATTCAGATGCCTATAATTAGGCAACTCATGTATGCATCGAGTAGTTGAAGAATACTAGCTCAAATTGTGTGTGACTGACCTTGAGGCTTTGAGCTGTAATCCTACTATCTGCTCTTCTGTGCAGGGCTGTAAACAGAACAGAACAGAAGGCAAGTTTGCAGAGGAGTTCCAGCCTGATTAAGCTAAACAATCCAGGTACCTTAGTTGCCACTCATTGCATGTCTGAACATTTTACAACGTTTTCTGAATATCTGGATATTTTTTTCCTCTGTTTCTATGTACAAGGTCCATCAAAATTCTACAAAACTAGGTCATCATGAAGGTTACCACTGCAACTGCACATTTCCTCTGGGTGTTCTTGGCCTCCATCTCCCATTCAGTCATCTGTTCAACTCTCAGAAACGAAACGGATCGACTGTCACTGCTTGAATTCAAGAACTCGATCACTCTCAATCCACATCAATCTCTCATCTCCTGGAATGACAGCACCCACTTCTGCAGCTGGGAAGGCATCTCATGCAGCTCCAAGAACCCACCTCGCGTCACCGCCATTGATCTTAGGAATCAAGGCCTGGTTGGCCACATCTCTCCTTCACTTGGCAACCTGACATTCCTGAGGAATCTGTCACTAGCGACGAATGGGTTCACCGGACAGATTCCTGAATCTCTCGGCCACCTGCGTCGTCTCCGGTCACTCTACCTGAGCAACAACACGCTGCAGGGGATCATACCGAGCTTCGCCAACTGCTCTGAGCTCACGGTGCTATGGCTGGATCACAATGATCTCGCCGGAGGATTCCCTGGCGGCCTGCCTCTTGGCCTTCAGGAATTACAGCTCTCGTCGAACAGACTTGTCGGGACAATCCCTCCCTCGCTCAGCAACATCACGGCGCTGAGGAAGCTCAGCTTCGCGTTCAATGGCATCACCGGCAGCATCCCCGGTGAGCTAGCGACGCTAAGTGGGGTGGAGATCCTCTACGCCAGCAGCAACCGGCTGTTAGGTGGGTTTCCAGAGGCGATCCTGAACATGTCGGTGCTGGTTGCGCTTAGCCTCAGCACGAACAGCTTCAGTGGTGAGCTGCCATCGGGCATCGGTAGCTTGCTGCCCAATCTTAGGCAGATTGCCATTGGCATCAACTTCTTTCATGGAGACATCCCTTCTTCGTTGGCGAATGCTTCCAATCTGGTCAAGATTGATATATCTGAAAATAACTTTACTGGGGTTGTACCTGCCTCCATTGGCAAGCTTGCCAATCTTACAAGGTTAAATCTTGAGATGAACCAGCTCCATGCTCGTAGCAAGCAAGACTGGGAGTTCATGGATAGCGTAGCCAATTGTACTCAGCTACAAGGAATCTCTATAGCGAGGAATCAAATGGAAGGAGAGGTACCAGGTTCATTAGGCAATTTTTCAGTTCAGCTACAGTATCTTTTCTTGGGACAGAATCAATTGTCAGGGAGTTTTCCTTCAGGCATTGCAAATCTTCCCAACCTGATAATTCTTGGACTAGATTACAACCGATTTTCAGGTTCTGTACCACAATGGCTAGGAGGTCTGAAGACATTGCAGAAACTAAGCTTGTCTACCAACAGTTTTACAGGGTATCTTCCCTCCTCCCTTTCCAATCTGTCACACTTGACAGAGATTCTTCTAGACACAAATCAGTTCATTGGAAACATACCTTAAGCTTTGGAAACCTTCAGTTCCTAACAACAATCACCATTACTGATAACAATCTTCATGGTGGTGTGCCAAAGGAGATCTTCAGGATTCCAACAATAGCGGAAGTTGGGTTTGCATTAAACAATCTCAGTGGAGAACTTCCTACAGAAATAGGGAATGCCAAGCAGCTCATATATTTGCAGCTTTCATCCAATAATCTGTCAGGAGATATACCTAATACTTTGAGTAACTGTGAAAATTTGCAACATGTTGAGCTTGACCAAAATAATTTTAGTGGAGGTATTCCCACCTCGTTCGGCAAATTAATTAGCCTAAAATTTCTCAACCTGTCACACAATAAGTTAAGTGGATCAATACCAGTGTCACTTGGTGACCTTCAACTCCTTGAACAGATAGATTTGTCATTCAACCATCTTACAGGTCAGGTCCCAACTAAAGGAATCTTCAAGAATTCAACTTCCATGCAAATTGATGGAAATTTGGCTCTTTGTGGAGGTGCACTGGAGTTACACTTACCTGAATGTCCTATCACACCTTCAAATACAACTAAAGGCAAGCTACCAGTACTACTGAAAGTAGTGATCCCATTAGCTAGCATGGTGACACTTGCCGTAGTGATATTGGTCCTGTATTTGATTTGGAAGGGAAAACAAAGGACAAACTCGATATCTTTGCCCTCATTTGGTAGAGAATTTCCCAAAGTTTCTTATAAAGATCTTGCCAGAGCAACTAATGGGTTCTCAACATCCAATTTGATTGGCGAAGGAAGATATGGTTCTGTATACCAAGGACAGTTATTTCAAGACATAAATGTAGTTGCTATCAAAGTCTTCAGTCTAGAGACAAAGGGAGCACAAAAGAGCTTCATTGCAGAGTGTAATGCTTTGAGAAATGTGCGGCATCGCAATCTGGTTCCTGTCTTGACGGCGTGCTCAAGCATTGATTCAAGTGGAAATGACTTCAAAGCACTGGTATATGAATTCATGCCACGAGGAGACTTGCATAAATTGTTGTACTCAACTCCACACGACGAAACATCTTCAGATCTGTGCTATATTTCACTAGCTCAAAGGTTAAGCATTGTGGTCAATGTTTCTGATGCATTGGCTTACCTACACCACAACCATCAAGGGACAATTATCCATTGTGATATCAAGCCCACCAATATTCTTTTGGATGATAATATGACAGCTCATGTCGGAGACTTTGGGCTTGCAAGGTTCAAAAATGATTCCAGACAATCGTTTGGTAACTCACATTTGACCTCTTCATTTGCGATAAATGGAACCGTAGGATATGTTGCTCCAGGTACATGTGGTCCACTTCACACTGTGTTTTCTTATTAAGTGATTAATATAATGGTTTCATCATTTGTCTATTTATTGGAGCATTTGAAATAAACTCTTCCTACATGCAATCTGTAGAATGTGCCGGAGGTGGACAAATTTCAACTGCTGCAGATGTATACAGCTTCGGAGTTGTTCTCCTCGAGATATTCATAAGGAGGAGGCCCACAGACGACATGTTCAAGGATGGATTGAGCATTGCAAAGTTCACAGAGATGAACATCCCTGATAAGATGCTGCAGATTGTTGATCCTCAGCTAGTACAAGAGTTGAGCCTCTGCAAAGAAGATTCAGTCATTAACGATGAAAATGGAGCACAATGTGTTCTTTCTGTGTTGAACATTGGACTCTGCTGCACCGATTCAGCCCCAAGCAAGCGCATCAGCATGCAGGAGGCGGCCGACAAGCTACACACAATCAGGGATTCATATCTCAGAGGATACTGAAGCAGTCAGTTTCAGTTGCTCTGCTTTGTCTGAAACTCACTGGAGCAATGCCTTTTCAGTTTCAGTTGTTATGTTGTCTCAAGCTCTGAACAATCCTCAGAAGACTTGATGTTCATCATGTAGCATTGCTCAATACTTGACGCAATTTAGTTGACATGAATACTACTTCCGACTTCCAAGAAAATGATTGCTAACCTGTTTCCCCACAACAATATCAGCTCCAAAAGTGACGTTCCAGTATTACTGCTTCCCATGTCAACATTTCTTGACTGCTGCAATGTAAAATTAAGCAGATCAACCAGATTAAGCATCACTCATTAATTAGACTGAAAATGCCAAGCTCTAAAGTACACAATCGCATTTCATCAACATTTTCACTTCCACTGAATCTCTCTCAGAATGTGACAGAACAGAAAGAAAATCTTGAGAAAAGTGAGACCGAGTCAATGACAGCATCTTCAGAATTTTTATTTATTTTATTTTATTTTGTTTGGTCGATCATGGTGGATAGGAACTGAATGGGATTAGCAGGGGATCCAGGTTTTCCTTTTAGCAAATGGTGAGTATCTGTGGAAGACTTACGTGGAGGCTTTCCGTGGCGTGGCCATCGGAGAAGGCGAAGAAGTACGTGCACGGGGAGACGGCGTCCTCGCAAAACGCCACCGGGCGCACATCGCCGTCGCCGCCGTCAACGCCTCCTCCGGCAGCGGCAGCTGGGACGCACGCACTCAGGCCAGAGACCGCCAGGGGTAGGAGCAGGCCCTCCCGGGGAGCAACCGGAGGACGAGCGATGCGCGAGGGCGGAAGAGGAGGAGGGATAACCGGAGGAGGAGTGAGGTGGGAGGGTGGGAGGAGGCAACCGGCGGCGCTCGGAGGCGGCGGCCGGCGGAAGGCGAATGACGAGAGACGAGGTGGGCCCAGTGGAGAGATCTCACCTGGGGTGAGGGTTATTGGGCCGGGAAATCTATCATCCCAGAATGGGCCAAGTGGAATTTTGGGCCAACTGCATTTCTCCCATCTAACGGTTACATATCATCTCAAATTCAGTTTTGCTATATATATTTATCCATAATTTTTTTTTTCTAAAAATTTGTCACATAATGCTAGTCTAATTATATTTTACTTGTATGAACTTTCATGTAATTTAAAACCGTTATATTTGTTTCACTATTCGTGCAACCAAAAATCACAGCATGCGTATAGGTGAGGGAATTCAATCACACGACCTTCGCTCATTGAAATAATAAATATTATTGTGAGATTCTTAAAAGTAAATTTAAAACTACATGTAAATTATAACATAATTACACTATAATTATACCATATTTACACGTATAGAAAAATTTATCTACAAAGTGTATATGTTGTCACACCCAAATTTCCATACGAGGTGATCAAAGATCTATTTTCTACTAAACTAATTATATTATTCAAATATATTAAAACGACAACATAATTTTAAATTTTACAATAACTTTACAAAACTACTAATGTGTAATATTCATATTACATTTTATATACGTGTTAGTTGTTAATTATTTTTAATATCAAATTTTAGTTATTTGTAAATTATATATATTACTATATGGACTCTAGACTCGTCTTTTAATATTTCTTTTTTTAATTCCGAATTTTCTGTAAATTGTATTTCTATATAACTCTATGCTCTTCTTCTAATATTATTTATTTTTATTTCTGAATTTTTGTTATTTCTAATTGTATTTAAATGTGGACTCTAAACTCATCTTTCAATATTCTTTAATTTTTAATTTCGAATTTCAGATACTTCTAAATTGTATTCCTATGTTGACTTTAAACTCTTCTTCCCATATTTTTCTTAATTTCGAATTTTAGTTATTTGTAAAATATATTTTTATACGGACTCTAAACTCTACTTTTAGTTTTATTATGTTTATTCCAAATTTTAGTTAGTTTTAAATTCCTATATGGACTCTATACTCTACTTCTAATATTCCTTCTATTATTTCCTAATTGTATTTTTATATATATGGACTCTATACTCTACTTCTAATATTCCTTATTTTAATTCCGAATTTAAGTTATTTCCTAATTGTATTTCTATATGGACTCTATACTCTACTTCTAATATTCCTTATTTTTAATTCCGAATTTAAGTTATTTCCTAATTGTATTTCTATATGGACTCTATACTCTACTTCTAACACTCCTCATTTTTAATTCCGAATTTCAGTTATTTCCTAATTGTATTTCTATATGGACTTTATACTCTACGTCTAATATTCCTTATTTTTAATTCCGAATTTCAGTTATTTCCTAATTGTATTTCTATATGGACTCTAGTCTCCTATTCCGATATTCCTTTTTTTTAATTCCGAATTTCAACTATTTCTAAATTGTATTTCTATATGGACTCTAGTCTCCTCTTCTGATATTCCTTATTTTTTTAATTCCGAATTTCAACTATTTCTAAATTGTATTTATATATGGACTCTGCTTTTTTTTTCTCTGATTAATGTGAGAATTTCTAGGCTGGCCCGCGCAGATTGCGCGGCTAGCATCATTATATTTTCTCTCATATAATAGCATATATGTTTTATCATTATATTATTCAAATATATTAAAATGACAACATAATTTTAAATTTTGCAATAACTTTACAAAACTACTAATGTGTAATATTCATATTATATTTTATATACGTGTTAGTTATTAATTATTTTTAATATCAAATTCTAGTTATTTGTAAATTATATATATTCCTATATGGACTCTATACTCGTCTTTTAATATTTTTTTTAATTCCGAATTTTCTGTAAATTGTATTTCTATATACACTATATGCTCTTCTTCCAATATTATTTATTTCTGAATTTTCATATTATATTTTATATACGTATTAGTTATTAATTATTTTTAATATCAAATTTTAGTTATTTGTAAATTATATATATATATATATATATATATATATATGGACTCTAGACTCGTCTTTTAATATTTCTTTTTTTAATTCCAAATTTTCTGTAAATTATATTTCTATATAGACTCTATCTCTTCTTCCAATATTATTTATTTTTATTTCTAAATTTTTATTATTTCAAATTGTATTTCTATGTGGACCCTAAACTCATATTTCAATATTCTTTAATTTTTAATTTCGAATTTCAGTTACTTCTAAATTGTATTCCTATATTTGCATTCCTATATTGACCTTAAACTCTTCTTCCCATATTTTTCTTAATTTTGAATTTTAGTTATTTGTAAATTGTATTTTTATACGGACTATAAACTATACTTTTAATTTTATTATGTTTATTCCAAATTTTAGTTAATTTTAAATTCCTATATGGACTCTATACTCTACTTCTAATATTTCTTATTTTTAATTCCAAATTTATATTATTTCCTAATTGTATTTCTATATGGACTCTATACTCTACTTCTAATATTCCTTATTTTTACTTCTGAATTTCAGTTATTTTCTAATTGTATTTCTATATGGACTCTATACTCTACTTCTAATATTTCTTATTTTTAATTCCGAATTTCAGTTATTTCCTAATTGTATTTCTATATGGACTCTATATCTACTTATAATATTCCTTATTTCTAATTCTGAATTTCAGTTATTTCCTAATTGTATTTCTATATGGACTCTATACTCTACTTCTAATATTTCTTATTTTTAATTCCGAATTTCAGTTATTTACTAATTGTATTTCTATAGGGACTCTAGTCTCCTCTTCTAATATTCCTTATTTTTTTAATTCCGAATTCAAGTTATTTTCTAATGGTATTTCTATATGGACTCTAGTCTCTTCTTCTAATATTCCTTATTTTTTTAATTTCGAATTTAAGCTATTTCTAAATTGTATTTCTATATGGACTCTGTATTTTCTTTTTCTCCGATTAATATGAGAATTTTTAGGCCACGAGAGCGAACGTGAAGTCTCCTTTTTTTTTTATTCCTTTAATTATATAATAGAAGATGGGGGTTTATGTCAAATCGCGCTGCTCTCCCTCCCAACCTCCTCTCCGGCAACCGGCGGCGCCCGTCCGCCCTCCGGCAAACCCCCGCCGCCGCCGCCGCCGCCTCAAGAGTCGAGTACTTGGCTCCACGCGGCCACTCCTGGTCGACATTGCTTCATCTGCTCCTCACACAGCCTCTCCTACATTCCTCAGGCTCCACGCGACCCACCTGGATGAGGGCCTCTTCCCGCGCCGCGCGCCGTGCGCCGTCCGGACTCCGGCCGTCCGCCGCCTGCTCCAGCTCGCGGTTCGCGCAGCACACCACAGGGAGTTTCTTATCCTTTTTTTTTATTGAGAGCGAGAGAGAGCGAAAGAGAGGACGAAGGTTGATTTGGAGTTGGGGAATTTTGTTAATTTGGTGATTTGTTCTAACCTAGGAGGAGCATGGCCGCGTTTCGGAGAAGCTTAAGAAGCGAAGCCTATTTTATTCCACCCGAGTAAAAATGTCCGGAAATCGTGGTGAACAGGTGCCTCTCTTCTAGTTCTTCCTCCCAAGTCAACATTTCACTGCTAATGACTAAACTAGTGCATTTTATATGTTGGAGAATATGTCTTCATGTGTAGAGGATTCGAAATGATACTCTGAAATTTGACTCCTAGATGGCGACAATGGAGTCCGAACAAACTTAGGTTAAGCACGCAGGTTGAATCAGGGTTGCAACTTGCAAGCTTTTGTTTAATCAGTTTATTATTAGATAATGCAAGCATGCCTTCCAGGTTATCATGTGAAAAAAATTCGGAATGAGATCCTCTGAATTTGACTCTTGGATGGTGACTATGATGTCCAAGTAAAACTAAGCTCAGCACGCGGACTGGATGTAAAAGCTAAGCTCAGCACGCGGACTGGATTAGGTTGCAAACATATTTTCTTTGGTTTTAGATAATGCATACCTTGCTGGTTTCAAGCATTGGTATTCCGTAGTAGGTACAAGATGAGCCCGTCCATGTCTCACTTGCACTAAAAGTTGGTGGGCTAGCCGGCCCGGGTTCGAGACTCAGTGACTCACTCATGCTTAATACCATCGATATGAAAGTACCTCCTTTCGTATCCAGCCTTTTCTTTTTTACTTGCATGGTTGCATTAGTCAACACTGCCACTTCTTTTAAATCTTGCCGATGGAACATAGCAGAAAGCATTTGTCTTCACAAAAAGGAACGTATCACAAGCTATATCATTCAGGTACATCAATTACCAACCACTGAATGTTTGTTTTGCTTGTTTCATTTTTTTTCAGATAGTCTGAATGTCTGAGTATTTGGCAATGTTTCCTGAATATCTGAACTTTCCCCGTTCTATTGTCCATGCATACGAGCAGGATTGATCAATATTCGCCAGAACTTGATTGCCATGAAGATTACTGCAGTTGGACAGTTGATCTTGGTTCTGATGGCTTGCAGCTCACATGCAGTCATCTGCTCAACTTTTGGAAATGGAACAGATCAGCTGTCACTTCTTGAATTCAAGAAGGCAATCAGTCTTGATCCGCAGCAATCCTTGATCTCCTGGAATGATAGCACCAACTACTGCAGCTGGGAAGGTGTCTCATGCAGTCTGAAGAATCCAGGTCGTGTCACCTCCCTTAATCTTACAAACCGAGCTCTAGTAGGGCACATCTCTCCTTCACTTGGGAACCTAACATTCCTGAAGTATCTTGCACTGCTCAAAAATGCACTCTCTGGAGAAATCCCTCCTTCCCTTGGACATTTGCGTCGCCTCCAGTATCTTTACTTGAGTGGCAACACACTGCAAGGAAGCATACCAAGCTTTGCAAACTGCTCAGAGCTCAAGGTTCTGTGGGTGCACAGGAACAACCTAACTGGGCAGTTTCCTGCAGATTGGCCTCCTAATCTTCAACAGCTGCAACTTTCAATCAATAATCTGACAGGTACAATCCCTGCTTCTCTTGCCAACATCACCTCACTGAATGTGCTTAGTTGCGTGTATAATCACATAGAAGGGAACATTCCGAATGAGTTTGCGAAGTTACCCAACCTTCAGACTCTTTATGTGGGTTCTAATCAACTGTCAGGTAGCTTTCCACAAGTCCTCTTGAATCTTTCTACTCTCATTAACCTTAGCCTTGGCCTTAATCATCTAAGTGGAGAGGTTCCATCCAATCTCGGTAGCGCTCTGCCCAATCTTGAGATATTTGAATTGCCTGTCAACTTCTTTCATGGGCGTATTCCCAGTTCACTGACAAACGCTTCCAATTTATATTTCCTTGAGTTATCAAATAACAATTTCACCGGATTGGTGCCTAGAACAATTGGGGAACTTAACAAGCTCCAGATGTTGAATCTTGAATGGAATCAGCTCCAAGCACATAGAGAACAAGATTGGGAGTTTCTGCAAAGCTTGGGCAACTGCACTGAGCTACAAGTTTTCTCCATGACTGGGAACCGTCTACAAGGGCATGTGCCTAGTTCGTTGGGTAACCTTTCTGATCAACTCCAGGAGCTACACTTGGCAGAAAGTAAACTTTCAGGTGATTTTCCTTCAGGTATAGCAAACCTTCAGAACCTGATTATTGTGGCGTTGGGTGCTAATCTATTTACAGGTGTGCTTCCAGAATGGCTTGGAACCATCAAAACTTTGCAAAAGGTATCTTTGGGTAGCAATTTCTTTACTGGAGCCATCCCATCATCTTTCTCAAATCTGTCTCAATTGGGAGAACTATATTTAGACTCAAACCAGTTAGTTGGCCAATTACCACCAAGCTTTGGAACCCTCCCAATCCTTCAAGTATTGATTGTCTCGAACAATAATCTTCATGGTAGCATACCAAAGGAGATCTTCAGAATTCCAACCATAGTGCAAATTAGCTTATCTTTCAACAATCTAGATGCACCCCTCCATAATGACATTGGCAAGGCAAAACAACTCACATATCTTCAGCTTTCATCAAATAATATATCTGGATATATTCCTAGCACTTTGGGTGACTCTGAAAGTTTGGAAGACATAGAGTTGGACCACAACGTTTTCAGTGGAAGCATCCCTGCATCTCTAGAAAACATAAAGACTCTAAAAGTTCTCAACTTGTCTTACAACAACCTGTCTGGATCAATACCGGCATCACTTGGTAACCTACAACTTGTTGAACAACTAGACCTATCATTCAACAATCTTAAGGGAGAGGTCCCAACAAAAGGTATATTCAAGAACACAACTGCTATAAGGGTTGGTGGAAATCCAGGACTTTGTGGGGGTTCCCTGGAGCTACACCTACTCACTTGTTCTAGCACTCCTTTGAATTCAGTTAAGCATAAGCAATTTATTTTTCTGAAAGTAGCTCTCCCAATAGCTATCATGACTTCACTTGTCATCGCCATCTCTATTATGTGGTTCTGGAATAGAAAACAAAACAGACAGTCTATTTCTTCACCTTCATTTGGCAGGAAATTTCCCAAAGTTTCTTACAGTGATCTTGTGAGAGCAACAGAGGGATTCTCTGCATCCAATTTAATTGGCAGAGGAAGATATGGTTCTGTATATCAGGGGAAACTATTTCCAGAGAGGAATTTGGTTGCCGTGAAAGTCTTCAATCTTGAAACAAGGGGTGCAGGCAAGAGTTTTATCGCAGAATGTAATGCCCTGAAAAATGTGCGACATCGTAATCTAATCACTATCCTTACTGCATGCTCCAGTATTGATTCATCTGGAAATGATTTTAAAGCCCTAGTGTATGAATTTATGCCACGAGGGGACTTACATAACTTACTATACTCAACTCGAGATGGCAATGGATCTTCAAATTTGTCCTATGTTTCCCTTGCTCAAAGATTAAACATCGCGGTGGACGTATCAGATGCATTGGCATACCTACACCATAACCATCAAGGAAGCATTGTTCACAGTGATCTAAAACCTAGCAACATTCTTCTCGATGATAATATGACAGCTCATGTTGGAGACTTTGGACTAGCAGCATTCAAATCTGATTCCGCAGCATCATCTTTTGGTGACTCAAGTTTGACTTCTTCCTTTGCAATAAAGGGAACCATAGGATATGTTGCTCCAGGTATTGCTCATTTCACATTGAATTCTCTTTGAAGTTGACTGGCACATTCCAAATTTTTGTATATTCATGTGAACATGTGAAATAATGGGGAGTAAACCCTTCCTATTTGTGATTTACAGAATGTGCTGGGGGTGGTCGAGTTTCAACCGCCTCGGACATCTACAGCTTTGGAATTGTTCTCCTCGAAATATTCATTCGAAGGAAGCCGACAGATGACATGTTCAAGGATGGACTGAGCATCTCAAAGTATACAGAGATCAATTTCCCTGATAAGATGTTGCAGATTGTTGACCCACAGCTGCTCCGAGAACTAGACATCTGCCAAGAAACCTCAATTAATGTTGAGAAAAATGAAGTGTGTTGCCTGCTTTCTGTGCTAAATATTGGACTTCATTGCACCAAGTTGGTCCCGGGCGAGCGCATGAGCATGCAGGAGGTGGCCTCCAAGCTGCATGGAATTAGGGATGAATATCTGAGAGGATACTGAAGAAGCAGATAATAGTTTCAGTTTTTTCCTGAATAACTTGCGAACGAACGATCATTTGTCTGTGTGAGTCACAACTAGAACCAACGAACACATGTCACGATTTTGTGCCATGAAAAGTGTTGTTTATGATGCATGGAGTAGAAAATCTCAAATTATGCATAGATCCGGCGCCATCTTCTCAAATGGCACTAATGCATCTAGTACATAATTTACAATGTGTCGAAGTTTATGTAATGACAACAGTTCTCCATGACAGTGAGTGTTGTGTTGACAGCAATTCTTTTTTCACCGGGACGGCGAAGATGCCGACCGATGTACCACACCCCTCTAAAATCTTTTATATTTAGATAGGGAGTCTATCTAGATTCGTAGTAGTCTAGGATGTGTCACATCACATTCCTCTAAAATCTCTTATATCTTAGGATGGTGGTAGTAATAAATAGGAGTATAACGAATTTGGATAGAACATATCTTCTTTCTAAATATACAGTACTAAAACGTGTCGTATTAGGTTTGTTTTTTTAGAGACTATGAGCTCGTGCCAGTAGGACAGACATATGAAATGAGTTGGTGCGACTGAGTTTTTCATATTTAATGCATGATGTTACAAGCCTGAGTATTTCTGTGGTATGTCTTCGTATTCAACAGTGATATGTCAGTCCTTACTCTTGTTCAGAATTTGGCGATGAGGCAGCCACGTCACACGTGATAGAATAGTTAGCATTAAAGAAGTATACATCTATACGGTTGGCCGTTGGCATGATGAATAAGGTCGTATCCGCAGGCATTCATCAGGTATGTTCTAAAGTGTCGATGAATGATGGATGAAATTAAGTGTATAATAATTATTTAAATGCACAAATAAATAAATTAAGAAAAAAATATACTCATGTGTTCATGAGTTTCCGCTCAATATGCTTCTAATAATAACTAATCGATTTCGCTAGAAATCTGTCGCGTGATTCTTTCCGAGCGATTTCATGGTATTTTTGGCCGCACTATGTGTGCGCCAAGATTTGTGCACGATGGTGGAGGCTACATGCATGGTCAGCGTAGATAAGGCCGTGGTTCGATCCTTGGGCCCGGTTTTTTTTTCACGGTACCAATTTTCGATTTGCGTCTGTTTTTTTCTTCTCTCGCTAACTTTGCCCGGAATCACTCTTTCTTTCTCATACGTTCTTCTCTCTAACTAAAATTACAGTCCTATTTAACTAAAATTACATATGTAAATTCAGTTGATATGATATATAAGTGCACTGTAATTTTAATAAAAATGATGTGCAAGTAAATATGTATTTGTTATTTTAATTAAAATACAAAATTACAGTCCTGTATAACTAAAATTACATTTGTAAATTCAGTCGATATGACATGTAAGTGCACTGTAATTTTGATAAAAATGTTATATGTATTTGTTATTTTCTTTAAAATATAAAATTACAGTCCTATATAGCTAAAATTACATTTGTAAATTCAGTTGATATAACATGTAAGTACACTGTATTTTAATAAAAATACCGTGTAAGTAAATATATATTTGTTATTTTCTTTTGTAGTCCGTTGGATGTAAATTTAATGGTAGAAAAAATATGGGTGATTTCTTGCTAGAAATCACCCGATGGATAGTCAGTTTATCTAATCCCCTATGTGCTTCTGAGTTTTATTTTGATCTCCTTTATACACATTCTGCTAATTGTTCATGGGCTAACTCTTGACTTTTCATCAAAATGACTATATTGCCATCTCTTATACTCATGTACTAGCTTATTATTATCTAAAAAAAATGCAAGCTTATTGAGAAAAGTACAATCCTCGATATAAAAAAGATTATTTTGTACGAAAAATGATGGGGATATAATTATTTGACAAAAAAATTTGGAAATCGGAATTTATTTCTTTTTTAATAAATTTCAAATCAGATTTGATGAAAATCATAGAATATTTTCACCAAAATTTAAATCTAAATAAAAAATAATCATGGTTTTCAATTTCTTGGTAAAACTCTTGTATGGGTTTGATAAAAAGAATAGTTTTGTATGAAGATTTAAATTCTGAATTCAAATTTGCTTTCAAATAATTTTGTCCTACTTGGTGTTATTATAAATTATTTTTTTCACATTGATATTTGTGTTTAAAAGTAGTTGATATATATACTTATGAGACTAATAGAGGGGCAACATAGTCATTTAAGAAAAATCTAATGGTTAACTAGTGGTCAACTAACGAAATGAGTATAGAAGGGATCAAATAATAAAACTCAGGGCAATCCAAGGGATGGTATAAAATTTAGGGGCATAGAAATGGTTGAGTGAAAACTTATGGACACACAAGGAATTTGCCCATAAACTAAATATTAGAGAGTTGACAAGTGATTTTGAAATGTTCTCTAAGAAATGCTGATGATTTTTTTTTTGCATCAATTAGTGAGAGCTAGCACTAGATATTGAGATGAAAAAGAGGGAGGAAGGTAAATATCTGTCGCCCTTTCATATCTACTCCCTATGTTAAAAAAGACTTAAATCCTAGGAATGAATCTAGATAGATATGTGTCTAGGCTTATCCCTAGGATTTGAGTTTTATTTTGGACAGAGGGAGTAACCAGCAGCATCCAACCACGACCACAACCACAGAGCAGATTAACCAGAGCAACCAAGGAACCCTTCCAAGCAATTACATCCAAGAGCTCCCTGACCAGAGAGAGATGGAAAATGTACAGCTAAGGGCCTCCCCACCAAGGTAGGAGAGAGAGAAGAACCTGTGAACCGGAGGAAACTGACCATGACTCCATGAGAGCAGAGCTAGCAAGCAGCTGGCAGAGGTCAAGAACACCAGCACGAGTCGGCCGGATCGTCAGTAACAGGAAGCAAACCCTGCACTCAAGTCATTGGCAGTAACAAGGTGAATTCCACACTCCCAAATCCCAGGCAGTAAACAAACACACACATGCCCAGATAGTTTTCTTTGTCATCTCATTCTGCAAGATTTTTTTTTCTAAAAAAAGGACCATCTGGATATGTTTGTGTTTTCTGGATTTCTGAATATTTAACATTAGATAATGGTTGCATGCTTGAGGCTACGCCTATGTGCCAAACTTCCAAATCAAAGAAACATGATGCTTTTTTGAAAGGTTTTAGTTAGTTTTCAAATGGTTTTGGTGCCCATCACCTCCTCCATTGTTTTTGAATCTTGGTTTAAGAAATTAAAGCATATGGAAGAACAATGTAAAAAGAATAATCTCCACATAACACAAATGAACACTTGCTAAAATAAATTCAATATATCTAAATTTCATCTGCTCTTGTTTATGCATGTAACCAAGGTCTAAGATCACCAAAGATAGCTTCAGCTAGCCAGATATGAAGGTCATGCCAATTGGTCTGCTTCTCCTCGTGCTCATAGCCTGGAGTTCAGAAGCTGTTATCTGCAACTCCTTAAATGAAAGTGAGATAGATCGACGGTCACTTCTTGAATTCAAGAAAGGAATCAGCATGGATCCACAGAAAGCCCTCATGTCATGGAATGACAGCACTCTCCTTTGCAATTGGGAAGGAGTCTTGTGCAGGGTGAAGACGCCTCGCCGTGTCACTTCTCTGAATCTTACAAATCGAGGTTTAGTAGGGAAGATTTCTCCTTCACTTGGAAACCTCACATTTCTGAAGTTTCTGCTCCTGCCAACAAACTCGTTAACTGGAGAGATTCCTTCATCCTTTGGTTACCTGCATCGCCTCCAATTCCTCTACTTGAGTAACAACACATTGCAAGGAATGATACCTGATCTGACAAATTGTTCCAACCTGAAGGCGATATGGCTGGATAGTAATGATCTAGTTGGACAGATACCTAATATTCTCCCTCCTCATCTTCAACAATTGCAGCTTTACAACAATAACCTCACCGGAACCATTCCTTCTTATCTTGCCAATATCACATCTCTGAAAGAACTTATCTTTGTTTCCAACCAAATTGAGGGAAACATCCCAAATGAGTTTGCCAAGTTGCCGAATCTGAAGGTCCTGTATGCCGGTGCGAACAAATTAGAAGGTAAGTTTCCACAAGCCATCTTAAACATTTCTACTCTCACCGGTCTTAGCCTCGCTTATAATAATCTTAGTGGTGAGTTACCATCAAATCTCTTCACATATCTACCAAATCTCCAAGATCTTGGTTTAGCCGCGAACCTCTTTCAAGGACATATCCCAAATTCACTTGCAAATGCTTCCAAACTATATATGTTGGATATAGCACTGAATTATTTCACTGGAATCATACCTACCTCCATTGGCAAACTTACCGAACTATCATGGTTAAATCTTGAGCACCACCGACTCCAAGCTCGTAGCAAGCAAGATTGGGAGTTTATGACAAGCTTAGCCAACTGCAGTGAGCTGAACATTTTCTCGATGAAGGACAATCTTCTGGAAGGCCATGTGCCAAGTTCATTAGGCAACCTTTCTGTTCAACTTCAACATCTGCTCTTGGGAACAAATAAATTATCAGGAGATTTTCCTTTTGGCATAGCAAACCTTCCTGGCCTAACGATGTTAGGATTGGAAGATAACAAATTTACCGGCATTGTTCCTGAATGGCTTGGATCTCTACAAAATTTACAGGGAATAGAGTTGGCAAACAACTTTTTCACAGGACTTATTCCATCATCCCTAGCAAACATATCTATGTTGGAAGAACTCTTTCTAGAATCCAACCAGTTATATGGATATATACCCTCTAGTTTGGGAAAACTCAACGTTCTTAGTGTATTGAGTATGTCCAACAATAGTCTACATGGCAGCATACCAGAGGAGATATTCAGAATTCCAACCATAAGGAAGATTAGTTTATCTTTCAATAATTTAGATGCACCCCTTCATGATGACATTGGCAACGCAAAACAACTCACATATCTGCAGCTTTCGTCAAATAATATAACCGGGTATATTCCTAGCACTTTGGGTAATTGTGAAAGTTTGGAAGACATCGAATTGGACCATAATGTTTTCAGTGGAAGCATCCCTACAACTCTGGGCAACATAAAGACTCTAAAAGTTCTCAAATTATCTAACAACAACCTGACTGGATCGATACCGGCTTCTCTTGGAAACCTACAACTTCTTGAGCAACTAGATTTATCATTCAATAATCTTAAGGGTGAGGTCCCAACCAAAGGCATCTTCAAGAATGCAACTGCTATGCGGGTTGATGGAAATGAAGGACTTTGTGGGGGGTCACTGGAGCTACACCTACTCACCTGTTCTAACAAGCCTTTGGATTCAGTTAAGCATAAACAATCTATTTTGCTGAAAGTAGTACTCCCAATGACCAT